AATAACTTGTGACACTGTTGATTCCACAAGCTAGGACTAGATTTTAAAAATTAAAACATTAAAAAGCTCAGACCCTTATGAAATAAACTACTTGTAACGCTGTTGATTCCACAAGCTAGGACTAGATTCCAAAAATTCAAAATATTAAATGGCTGAGACCCCCAGTAAACATTAAATTTTAAAAAACAATAAATTACTTGTTACGCTGTTGATTCCACAAGCTAGGACTAGATTTCAAAAATTAAAACATTAAAAAGCTCAGACCCCCATGAAATACATTACTTGTAACGCTGTTGATTCCACAAGCTAGGACTAGATTCCAAAAATTCAAAATATTAAATGGCTGAGACTCCCAGTAAACATTAAATTTTAAAAAACAATAAATTACTTGTTACGCTGTTGATTCCACAAGCTAGGACTAGATTTCAAAAATTAAAACATTAAAAAGCTCAGACCCCCATGAAATAAATTACTTGTAACGCTGTTGATTCCACAAGCTAGGAATAGATTTCAAAAATTAAAATATTTAAAAGCACAGACCCCCATGAAATAAATTGCTTGTAACGCTTTTGATTCCACAAGCTAGGACTAGATTCCAAAACTTAAAATATTAAAAAGCTTAGACCCCCATGAAATATATTACTTGTAACGCTGTAGATTCCAAAAGCTAGGACTAGATTCCGAAAAATAAAAATAATAAAAGGCTGAGACCCCAAGAAACATTAAATTTTAAAAAACAATAAATTACTTATGACGCTATTGATTCCACAAGCTAAGACTAGATTTCAAAAATTCAAAATATTAATTGGCTGAGACCCCCAATAAACATTGAATTTTAAAAAACAATAAATTACTTGTGACGCTGTTGATTCCACAAGCTAGGACTAAATTTCAAAAATTAAAACATTTAAAAGCTCAGACCCCCATGAAATAAACTGCTTGTAACGCTTTTGATTCCACAAGCTAGGACTAGATTCCAAAACTTAAAATATTAAAAAGCTTAGACCCCCATGAAATGTATTACTTGTAACGCTGTTGATTCCACAAGCTAGGACTAGATTCCGAAAAATAAAAATAATAAAAGGCTGAGAACCCTAAAAAACATTGAATTTTAAAAAACAATAAATTATTTGTTGCGCTGTTGATTCCACAAGCTAGGACTAGATTCCAAAAATTCAAAATATTAATTGGCTGAGACCCCCAATAAACATTGAGTTTTTAAAAACAATAAATTACTTGTGACGCTGCTGATTCCACAAGCTAGGACTAGATCTCAAAAATTAAAATATTAGAAAGCTCAGACCCCCATGAAATAAATTACTTGTAACGCTGTTGATTCCACAAGCTAGGACTACATTCCGAAAAATAAAAATAATAAAAGGCTGAGACCCCCAAAAAACATTGAATTTTAAAAACAATAAATTATTTGTGACGCGTTTGATTCCACAAGCTAAGACTAGATTCCAAAAATTAAAATATTAAAAGGCTCAGACCCCCAAGAAACATTGAATTTTAAAAACAATAAATTATTTGTGACGCGTTTGATTCCACAAGCTAGGACTAGATTCCAAAAATTAAAATACTAAAAGGCTCAGACCCCCAAGAAACATTGAATTTTAAAAGGCAATAAATTACTTGTTACGCTGTTGATTCCACAAGCTAGGACTAGATTCCAAAAATTCAAAATATTAAATGGCTGAGACCCCCAATAAACATTGAATTTTAAAAAACAATAAATTACTTGTGACGCTGTTGATTCCACAAGCTAGGACTAGATTCCAAAAATTAAAATATTAAAAAGCTCAGACCCCCATGAAATAAATTACTTGTAACGCTCTTGATTCCACAAGCTAGGACTAGATTTTAAAAATTAAAATATTTAAAAGCTCAGACCCCCATGAAGTAAATTACTTATAACGCTGTTGATTCCACAAGCTAGGACTAGATTCCAAAAATTCAAATATTAAAAAGCTCAGACCCCCATAAATATATTACTTGTAACGCTGTTGATTCCACAAGCTAGGACTAGATTTCAAAAATTAAAATATTAAAAAGCTCAGACCCCCATGAAATAAATTACTTGTAACGCTGTTGATTCCACAAGCTAGGACTAGATTCCGAAAAATTCAAAATAATAAAAGGCTGAGACCCCCAAAAAACATTGAATTTTAAAAACAATAAATTACTTGTGACGCTGTTGATTCCACAAGCTAGGACTAGATCCCAAAAATTAAAATATTAAAAGGCTGAAACCCCCAAGAAATAAATTACTTGTTACGCTGTTGATTCCACAAGCTAGGACTAGATTTTAAAAATTAAAATATTTAAAAGCTCAGACCCCCATGAAGTAAATTACTTATAACGCTGTTGATTCCACAAGCTAGGACTAGATTCCAAAAATTGAAATATTAAAAAGCTCAGACCCCCATAAATATATTACTTGTAACTTTGTTGATTCCACAAGCTAGGACTAGATTTCAAAAATTAAAATATTAAAAAGCTCAGACCCCCATGAAATAAATTACTTATAACGCTGTTGATTCCACAAGCTAGGACTAGATTCCAAAAATTGAAATATTAAAAAGCTCAGACCCCCATGAAATATATTACTTGTAACGCTGTTGATTCCACAAGCTAGGACTAGATTTCAAAAATTAAAATATTAAAAAGCTCAGACCCCCATGAAATAAATTACTTGTAACGCTGTTGATTCCACAAGCTAGGACTAGATTCCAAAAACTCAAAATATTAAATGGCTGAGACCCCCAGTAAACATTGAATTTTAAAAAACAATAAATTACTTGTGACGCTGTTGATCCACAAGCTAGGACTAGATTTCAAAAATTAAAATATTAAAAAGCTCAGACCCCCATGAAATATATTACTTGTAACGCTGTTGATTCCACAAGCTAGGACTAGATTCCGAAAAATAAAAATAATAAAAGGCTGAGACCCCCAAAAAACATTGAATTTTAAAAACAATAAATTATTTGTGGCGCGTTTGATTCCACAAGCTAAGACTAGATTCCAAAAATTCAAAATATTAAATGGCTGAGACCCCCAGTAAACATTGAATTTTAAAAAACAATAAATTACTTGTGACGCTGTTGATTCCACAAGCTAGGACTAGATTTCAAAAATTAAAATATTAAAAAGCTCAGACCCCCATGAAATATATTACTTGTAACGCTGTTGATTCCACAAGCTAGGACTAGATTCCGAAAAATAAAAATAATAAAAGGCTGAGACCCCCAAAAAACATTGAATTTTAAAAACAATAAATTATTTGATGCGCGTTTGATTCCACAAGCTAAGACTAGATTCCAAAAATTAAAATATTAAATGGCTGAGACCCCCAAAAAACATTGAATTTTAAAAACAATAAATTATTTGATGCGCGTTTGATTCCACAAGCTAAGACTAGATTCCAAAAATTCAAAATATTAAATGGCTGAGACCCCCAGTAAACATTGAATTTTAAAAAACAATAAATTACTTGTGACGATGTTGATTCCACAAGCTAGGACTAGATTTCAAAAATTAAAATATTAAAAAGCTCAGACCCCCATGAAATATATTACTTGTAACGCTGTTGATTCCACAAGCTAGGACTAGATTCCGAAAAATAAAAATAATAAAAGGCTCAGACCCCCAAGAAACATTGAATTTTAAAAAACAATAAATTACTTGTGACGCTGTTGATTCCACAAGCTAGGACTAGATTTCAAAAATTAAAATATTAAAAAGCTCAGACCCCCATGAAATATATTACTTGTAACGCTGCTGATTTCAAAAGCTAGGACTAGATTCCGAAAATTAAAAATAATAAAAGGCTGAGACCCCCAAAAAACATTGAATTTTAGAAACAATAAATTATTTGTGACGCGTTTGATTCCACAAGCTAAGACTAGATTCCAAAAATTAAAATATTAAAAGGCTCAGACCCCCAAGAAACATTGAATTTTAAAAACAACAAATTACTTGTGACGCTGTTGATTCCATAAGCTAGGACTAGATTTCAAAAATTCAAAATATTAAAAGGCTGAGACCCCCAATAAACATTGAATTTTAAAAAACAATAAATTACTTGTGACGCTGTTGATTCCACAAGCTAGGACTAGATTTCAAAAATTAAAATACTAAAAAGCTCAGACCCCCATGAAATATATTACTTGTAACGCTGTTGACTCCACAAGCTAGGACCAGATTCCAAAAATTCAAAATATTAAAAGGCTGAGACCCCCAAGAAACATTGAATTTTAAAAAACAATAAATTACTTGTGACGCTGTTGATTCCACAAGCTAGGACTAGATTTCAAAAATTAAAATATTAAAAAGCTTAGACCCCCATGAAATATATTACTTGTAACGCTGTTGATTCCACAAGCTAGGACTAGATTCCAAAAATTCAAAATATTAAATGGCTGAGACCCCCAATAAACATTGAATTTTAAAAAACAATAAATTACTTGTGACGCTGTTGATTCCACAAGCTAGGACTAGATCTCAAAAATTCAAAATATTAAATGGCTGAAACCCCCAGTAAACATTGAATTTTAAAAAACAATAAATTACTTGTGACGCTGTTGATTCCACAAGCTAGGACTAGATTCCAAAAATTCAAAAAATAAATGGCTGAGACCCCCCAGTAAACATTGAATTTTAAAAAACAATAAATTACTTGTGACGCTGTTGATTCCACAAGCTAGGACTAGATTCCAAAAATTCAAAAAATTAAATGGCTGAGACCCCCCAGTAAACATTGAATTTTAAAAAACAATAAATTACTTGTAACGCTGTTGATTCCACAAGCTAGGACTAGATCTCAAAAATTAAAAATATTAAAAGGCTCAGACCCCCATGAAATAAATTACTTGTGACGCTGTTGATTCCACAAGCTAGGACTAGATTCCAAAAAATTAAAAATATTATATAGTTTAAGAAAGTACGAATTAATTGCGATTGAAGCGTGGAAGTAAAATAATATTCAGTGTGAACAAATTTTTACCAGTGGAGTGCGTTCAGTGCTGGATATTATCGAAAAAAAATCATTATTAAGGAATCAAGTTTTAGCGAGAGATAGAAAAAAATTAAAGTTTAACTTAATTATATTACACAGCATATTATTTAAGCATTTTTAAATATGTCATCATCATCGGAAAATTTCGGCAATCCTCTAAGAAAATTTAAGCTAGTATTTTTAGGAGAACAAAGTGGTATGTAAAATTTGTAAAATGTTACTTATAGTGCAACTTACGCAGCATAAAATTTATGCAACATAGGAGGTTTTCAATAGAAAAGTCAAACTGTATATTGCTGATTAATTATTAAGTGAAAAAAATAGTAATAAAAAGGAATTTATTGAAGTGATGACGAAAACAGTCTAGAAGCAAAATGGAGTGTGTGAAAGAAAAATTTAAGTCCATTCTTTGTTGTGATGTATGCCCTATTTAAATTTTTTAAGCTCTCAATGATCATGATTTTTCTATTGATTCCACTGGATTATTGAGATTTTTTTTTAAATAATAATTTGCCTAATTTTTTCATTACATGCCAATAATTGCAAAGTGGGTAAAACAAGCTTAATTACACGGTTTATGTATGATAGCTTCGATAACACTTATCAGGTAATGTTTACTTTTTATTCCTCATATTAAAATTATTTTATTTATTTAAAAATCAATAAAACAATTTGTGACTCACATATATGTATACCTCTCTATTTACTTACTCATTTTAGGCAACGATAGGTATAGATTTTCTTTCGAAAACAATGTATTTAGAGGATAGAACTGTTAGACTGCAACTATGGGTAGGCATATTCAATAATTTTAGACATACATGCATGTGTGGGCGATAATAATGTTTACTGGAAATTTTTTTCTGCTGCAACTAAATAGGATACTGCTGGTCAAGAGAGATTTAGGAGTCTCATTCCTTCTTATATTCGAGATTCGACTGTTGCAGTCGTTGTTTATGATATAACTAGTAAGACTGTTTATTATATCCATAATGATCTCATTTAATATACCTACACATATTATGTTTGAAAAATTCTAGATGCGAATTCTTTCCATCAGACGTCTAAATGGATTGATGATGTAAGAACAGAGCGTGGAAGTGATGTTATTATTATGCTCGTTGGAAACAAAACCGATTTATCTGATAAAAGACAAGTTTCAACGGAAGAGGGAGAGAGGAAAGCTAAGGAACTTAACGTGATGTTTATAGAAACGAGTGCTAAAGCAGGATATAATGTTAAACAAGTGAGTGTGATGAATAATAGGCTCTTTTATTGGGTATAAATAACAGTGTTTTTTTTTTATTATTATTATTTAAATCATGTAGCTTTTTAGACGTGTAGCAGCCGCTTTGCCAGGAATGGACTCGTCAGAAAATAAGCCACCAGAAGACAGTAAGAGCTTTATAATCTCATTTTGCATAACTTCGTGTTCTCTTTCTTTTATCGAAAGTCATCTGTTCATTTATATTAATTTTGATTTTTTTCTGTGAAATTATTAATTAAAAGTGCAAGAAGTCGTACTTAAAGACTCACCAAAGGAATTGAGTGGAGACGCCGAAGGAGGATGTGCATGCTAAAAAAATATGTTTTACTTACGAATAATTATTAGAAATTAATCGTATTATTATGCTTTATCTTTTTCTTCTTCTATGAGTTGATATAATTAATTAAGAGAATTGTGTAATTCTGAACCATAAAATGTTATTCTTATATAAAATTTAGCATTATTTGCATTAATTTATTTTTTAATATATATAATAGAATTATATACATTTATTTATTTTACTTTCCTTATTCGTTTTGTTACTTATGTCTTATTTTTGCTACTAAATGCTATTAAATCGATTTTTTTACATTTAACTACACTCAATTGCTTCCAACAAACATTTTTAAAAATTTATGTCATTATATTCATATCCTCTCATACTCGTTCATCGTCACCTGAACATAAATTTTTAAATTAAAATTGTTTGTCGGTGACACATAAATTTTTTATGTTCCTATTGAGATTATGGTTGCATGAAAGGATATCAATATATTTGTACTATGCATTTGTTCTTAGAATATAAATTCAGTAACCATGTCTTGTGACGATTGAAACTGATGAAACTTAAAACTATTTATGTCATTTTCAGCCGTAGACTTACAAACTCAGCAAACCTCAACGAATGATCAAAATCAAGATTCAGAAGGAGGATGCATGTGTTAAGAAAAAAGTCTTACTAATTATAATATAATATTCCAAAGTGGATCAAAAGCTTTCATGATGGCTTTTACTAAATTTTAGTTCATTCGAAAAGGATCATGACATGAAATAAAGGAGGAATATTATCATTCTGAAAATGTAATGGCAATTCAAGCGATAAATAACTAGTGATGACATAGACAAGAATCACTAATTTCATCTTGTTACCCCAGCATTTGCTTTCTTCAATGTTTGTTCATTCCAATACAAACTGAATACATCTTTATTATATATATTATAGAATATTAACGAAATTGTTTTTTTTTTACTGAAAATGGGTGAAAAGTCGAGGACATTGAGAAGAGTTTAGTGTTTTAAATTTTATTCATATTCAAATGAATGGATGAATGACCAAAATATGCTGTATTCATATAAATGGTATAATTTTCCTAAGTATTCAACTATTAAAAATAACATTTTTCGTACGCTTCTTGTTTTCTCAACAATAATAATTAATAATTGTATGATGAGTAGTTTAATCATAAAAAAAACCTATAACAAATTTGGATATGAGAAAACTGAAGGCATGAATTTAACGCAATCATAGTGAAGGATGTTTATTTGATTAAGATTTTATTTATTTTCTAACATTAAATTTGTCAATTTAATATAAAATATGAAACATGCGCCGATTTTATACTTTTTGTATCATAAAACAACTACATTTTTGCAAGTAATAAAATGCTTTCTTCTGCCATAATTAAAATGGTGTTGATTAATTAAAATTTGTATGTTTGCTCATTTGTTACAGTAAAATAGGTATGTGGGTACTTACAAGAGATTTTATTCATCAATATAAGTAAACTGTTACAGTTAGCATGTTCATCAAAATTTTACTCTAAGCTTTCGACCTGGAAAAGCTTAGCACTCAAACGGTTCTCAATCGAAATGTGCTCCAAAACGTCACAAATGTTTTTGGAACCTTTTTTAAAAATGCACCTTGCAGATCTTGTGAATGAAAAATAGCAAAGTATGTGTGAGACTTAATATAGAACTTCTTACTGTTTAATTCACAAACATTTACTTGTGTTAATTATGTTTTGTTCTCCACAGCTACATCTATTCTTTTCATCCTTTTGTTCTAATTAGATTTACTTTTGAAAACGCCGTCTTGAAACTCTTAGTTTCGACTTTTTGATATTATAATCAATTTATTTTGGTTCTTTACGTTGCTATCTTAATAATGCTTAACTTGACTTTGATTAAGAATTGTCTTAAAATTTTAACCGGTTCATTGTGAATTTTAAGACCTAATACCTGAAAAGAACTGAATTGCTATTATTGTAACTATATAAAAATTATTAATATGCAGTTCATTCATGATGAGAAAAAATATGATAGATTTAAATCCATTGAACACAAAATTAACATAAGACTGGAAATGAATAACATGACTAAAATATGTGCCGCTGAAAAGTTTGAATAAAATAAGTTTTAGCACTCAGAAAGCTTTTAATGCGCGAGAATCGACAAGATGTGTTGCCAGTCTCAGTACACAAACAACCAAAACGAACGACTTTAATGAGCGAACAAGACATACCAACACTACTTAAATTAATAGTGATTTCTTTTCTTTCTATTCTTTCTCTTTAATCGAATCGAGAAATTTTTCTGAACGGTTGCACAAAGTCGTTTCCTAGTGTAATATATTTTTTAAAAAAATTAATAGTATGACAAGGATGGTCTAAAAATACTTTAAGGAATGGATTTTACAAGAAATGTTCATTAATTTCTTTTATAAAGACGAAAAAGTAGTTCATAGAGTTAGAATAAGATCATTATTGTGCCATAAATTGTGAGAAAATTTATAAAAAAAAATAATTTTATACCTACATACGTGGATTCAACACATGAATAGGAGGAACCACTTGTATACATGTGAAAGATAACGAAAGGAGAAAAGAAATAGGTCATCGTAAAAAATACCTTTTAAAAAATAGAACTCGGATACTGAAGAAAAAGTGTGTCTCAAGTCGAATATTTCTATTGGTGTTATAATTAATGAAATATTTTATTGAAAGTGATGTGGATTAAAGAAAATGACTGATGAAGACAAAATGTAATGGAAATTTGAATATTGCTTTATTTAATAAAACGTTAATGTGAAAAAGAATAAGAGAAAGTAAATTGAATTGATACATAATTTTTATTTTTTGTATGTACTTGAGAAGAACTTTACTGCATCATAAATGCTACAAAATTTGATATTAAGTCAAGATATATCATACGTCGTGAACATTATTTTCTTCTAATACTTTTAAAAAAGTACATAAATAATAAAAGGAAAGCATGAATCATAATAAAGTTTTAAATTGGATTGCATTGTCACTCTTTTTTCTTGAGTTGACTTGCTTCTCTGGTGAGTAATTTATTTTTACGTAAGCGAATCAAATATCAAAACTAGCTAGCTTGAAACTTAGTATAACTTAACATTATTTTTAAAATTTTAACGGTACTAAAAACCATATTTACTGAAGAAGAAACATATGAGCATGTTCGATTTTTTTTTCTCTACGTTTGTATGTGCGTTGCACGCTTTCTTTTTTCTCTGACTCAACAATAATATTGTGGAAATTACACAAATACTCTATTTGTCAACACCAATATCCGCGAAGTATTTTGCAATTTTTTCATTACTTATGTCCTAAGCATTATGTAAGAAATTCATAGTTTTCTATATAAAATCCGGGTTTTTTACCACGTTTTTCGTTAACTTGCTTTCTTGTCTTTCTGCTTGTCTTGGTCAAATCTTGCGATTAATTTTTCGACCACTTCTACTGTTCCAATCGAGCTGAAATTTTGCATGCACTTATCTTTCCGATGACAATACAATATCCAAGCATTTCGTAAACTTAAAAATGCTTAAGTTTCTTTATTTCATTACAATAAGACTAAAAAGTAGAAAATAAAATACTTTATAAAACTAGTGTATCGGGTAGAAACCCAATGCGGATTATATTCACACCGTACTATCATAAGTCTTATGAATAGACCAAGATTTGCCCATCATAAGTATGAAGGTATGAAACCTGATAAGTCAACTAAGCTTCGCTCAGCATAAGTTTGAAGATATAAAGCTATCGCGTAAGCTGAGCTACGCTCAGCATAAGTTTGAAGATATGAAGCTAGAGAGGCAGCTGAGCTTCGCTCAGCATAAGTTTGAAGTTATAAAGCTATCGCGTAAGCTGAGCTACGCTCAGCATAAGTTTGAAGATATAAAGCTAGAGTGTCAGCTGAGCTACGCTCAGCATAAGTTTGAAGGTATAAAGCTTGACGAATATGCCAAATATTCTTTAAAAGTTTTTTAAAAAAAATTTTCATCCAAAGTTGAATTTTATAAAAATCACAGTCAACTTTTGTTTTAAAAAATTCGTAAGAAAGGAAAGTTTTTTGCCATTTCTGAAGCAACGGCTGTTCCTACCTTGCCCAAAAACAATACAGCTCTTCTATAGAGCAGCACGGATCAAATGTAAAAAACTAGAAGTCTCTACGATGTCTCGTTATTGAGATTTCTTGCTGATTAACTTGCTTGCTTGCTTGTTTGCTTACAGAAAGCGTATTTTGCGATTTTCTCAGCAATGCCACAACCAATTTGAAATCTGTTTTTTGAAAATGATGTAAAATTTCAGGCACAAACTTTTCTTCTTGCCCTTTTATAACCAATTTTGCTTTGTTTTCTCACAAAATGCGAAAAACTGATTTTTCAATCTGAACAAAACCACGTAAAAACGGTGTGAATATAAAAAACTTTTTAAAAAACCACGTTTTACCCGTAGACTAAAAAGTAGAAAATAACTTTTATATTGGGTTCAAAGGATATTGGTTTGAAAATTTGAGATTGATTTGAAAGTTTCATACTTAAGTCATGACCATACATGAATTGCAAATTTGTTCACTTCGACCATATCGTGGAGTTCTACATCTTAAAACGTGGGCGCATTTATATGAAATTTAAGCACTCAAAATTTACAATATTTATAAATGCGCCCACTTTTTAAGATGTAGAACTATATGTTATGGTCGAAGTAAACAAATTTGCAATTCATGTACAACCATGACTCTAATATAAAACTTTCAAATTAATCTAAAATTTTCAAACCAAAATCTTTTGCACCTAAGATTATAAAGTTATTTTCTACTTTTTTGTCCACTGGTAAAAACGTGGTTTTTTAAAAAGTATTTTATTTATTTCACAAAAAGAAAAAAAAATAAATTTATGCTTGTATGATAACAGAATGTCCAGTATTTTGGATGATACTAAAATTTGATCACGAAATTAAGCAGAACATTCTTGTTAATTACTTTTTTACAGCTATCTTGTGTCAAAACTCAGTTTCGCAAATTTCACCAAAGTCAATAGTGAATGATGATGAGAAATTTGAGCATAATATTCAGCCTTCAGAAACTATTAAAAATATAATTTCTTTTGATGATGAGACCATGAAAATATCTCCATCTTCGCTTATTTTGAATGAAGAAGAAAGCACAATTAGAGAAATTAATGAAATCGAATCAAATAATATTGAAGTAGAATCTTCGGGGAGATATCATGAAACTATTAGACCGACATTAACATTTAAGAAAAATGAGAACGAAAAGTCAATGAATTACGAAATTATTGAAGACGGTAATTTTTTAGTGAAAGGGGGTCGTCGAGCAAGATCCTCACGACCCCAAATACAGGAGATGGATACTGTTTTGCCGATAAAGAATGTCAACTCAAATGAGTTAACAATGGCTCGTCAAAATAATGATATCCAAGGAATTATTTCTGGAATAGTAAAATTATTAAATGGAAATGTTAATGTGCATACAAATAATCAAGGAACTCGAAGACCACCATCAAATAGAATCAATAACAGAGGACCGCCAAGAATTGCTGAAGCACAAGTTCCGGGAAATGATTTACAAGAGTCTAATAATGGCAAACCACAGCAATCTTTCCCAGAAGCTCCTCTGATGCGACCATTTTTAACAGGAGTTCCAATTCCTGAGCAAATTGTACCATCAATGCAACAAAATTATCGTCCTGGTTTTGTATCTCAAAATCGACCACCTTGGAAACGTCCTAAACCACCAATTAGTCGACGACCTCCTCCTCAATACACACATCATCATATACCAACGCATTTTGTTTCTGACGATCAATCAAACAATTCAAATTTATCGTCTGCATCAAATAAAGAGAAACCAATTGTTTATGAAAACAATTATGATGATGACGATGATGTAGGAACGGCAATCGAAGAAGATACATTGCCTCCGTCCACTACAGTCGAAGATGATCATAAAGAAATTAGCAGTACTATTGCAAATGAAAATATTTCATCAACAGTTATTACGATCATTCAGTCAACTTCTGAAGTCAACACGGTAGACCAGTCAAATGACATATTTTCCACGTTAGGAGATAATGATATGAACAAAACCAGCTCGTCTATTGAATTAGAGCCATCTACTAATGAAATTTTATCGCAAAATCCCGTAACATTTACACCTACACTTATCGAAACGACTACTTCTTCATTATCTTCAATTGATAATCATGAAAGTGTGATACATTCAACACCTTCTTTAAATCCTCCACCAAACACATACCAAACTCAATATATTCCACGACCTGGAGTAGTTCTAGATGATCCTGAATTTAATCCTGCTCAAAAAGTAAATCATCACCATCATAATCAGAGACCGAGAATCCCGGTTCCAGCAGCTCATCCTCCAGGATATGGCGAAATATTTGATGTCACATTATCTGCCGTTCAATTTGGTTAGTAAAAACGTTTTAAGCAGCTTTAATTTTAAACATAATTTAATTGGGGAACATTACTTTCAGGGGACTCAAATATGGGATCACATCAGACAATTAATATAAAACCATATAATGTTTACGAAGGCACCGATATAATATTGAGTCCATCAGGTGATCAAGGATTTGTATCTATTGATGGAAAAAGGACGTATATAAATCTTTTTGGCGAATCTACGGATCCACCAACAAGGATTGAGTCTACTCAAGTGGTGAGAGAAAATCAAATCAGACCAACTAATGTCTATCAGCCTCCGATTGGCGTTACTGGTAGTGGATATGTTGCTGTAGCTGAAACAGAAACAATTACTAGAAAATCACCACATCAGCAACAACATTCATATCAACAAAATCGTTTAGTGCTTAAACCAAAAGTTCCACAACAATTGCCGCCTGTTCGAATTGATACATGCATTGTTGGTGATGACTCGACTTGCGATAAAGCTCAAAATGAGAAATGCATGAACGATAATGGTGTTTCAAGTTGTAGTTGCAAGCAAGGTATATTCCATTTTTGAAAGCACATTAGACAATGAGTTGTAATACTTCTTGGATTTTTTTTATGTCATCGTAACAGGTTATGCAAGGCGAAAACATCGTGATATATGTAGAAAAATTGTTTCAGTTGTTGTATCAATGCGTGTAGATCGATATCATGACCGTAAAATTGTTTGGGACTCATCACTCAATGATTCAGCATCTGAACCATTCAGATCCTTAAAATATGAGTCATTGCGTGCTGTAAGTGTCAATTGCATTTAATAAACTTGTTTAAAATATTAACAAATGATAAAAATTATTTTAACAGGTGGATTCAGCATTTAGTATGACACCCTTTTCGGACGAATTTATGGAAGCGACGGTCAATAATATCTTTCAGGGTGATGCATCTAAAGGATTGGCTGGAGTTTTCGTAAATTTAACATTAATGGTTGAAGAAAATGGCGAAACTATAAGACCTGCAATAAGGAATGATATTCAACGACATTTACTTGGTGTGATACACAGGAGAAATAATAATATCGGAAACTCAGCATTGTTTGTAGACAGTGCACCAGGCTCAATTTCAGCAGTAGTCGATCTTAACGAATGCGAATCTGATGAACTAAATGACTGTCATACGGAAGCAATTTGTACAAATACTTGGGGAAGCTACACGTAAGTTAAATATCTTCTAATGAATTCTTTTCAAATTTCTTTAAATATCTTATTTTTTTTAAAACTAGATGTCAGTGCAATAGCGGTCTTAAAGATCCATATATTGATCATCCACAAAGAATGGGACGTGAATGTATGTCATGCGACTCATCATATTGCAATAATCGAGGCACTTGTAGTTTTGATTCTCATGGAACTCAGGCTTGCACATGCACAGGATTTTATTATGGGTAAGTTATTTTTTTTTTCTTAACCAAGCCGGTATTTATTTTGATTTGTTTTCAGCTCTGCATGTGAAATAGACGGAGAAATTTTATTCGTATCTATTGGTGCCTCTGTTGCCGCTATTTTCATTATCATTCTAACATTAATATGCTTAGTCATGTGGAGGTAAATTATTAAAACGTAAAATTATGTTTGTAAATTAAGTTTTTTTTTCTTCATCCAAAGTCGAAAGTGGCAACGTGAGCATAAGAATGCAATGATAGGAAGTCCTCTGTTTGGATTAGGAGGATACATGGGTAATGCACAAGTCAAAGCTCCTATTATGGGAACTGTTCCTTATCAGATGACTTTAGAAGATAGAATGAGATGGGCTCAAATTGCTGACGTGATGTCACAGAGTAATCATTATGGAATCGAACCGTCGAGAACACTTCCAACGATTTATTCCGGCTATCCAAATTTGAGCGGAATGATGAGTGGAATGACCTTGCCACACAATAGTCATCATAATGGAACTTTACCTCCCCCGCCAGTACCTCTTCCTAGGTATGTAGTTTAATGTTTATTTGTTTTTTTTTTTTAAAAAATATTAATGGGATTTGAATTTTACAGACTAGGAATGAATCGACCAAGTGGAATGAGAAATCTCGAGAATTCTAGTTCTAGTGAAGAAGAGGATCGAACAGATCTTTTAGGGAGGAGCTTTCAAGTTCCACGCCCGAAAAGTCGAGCAGCATCTGTAACGAGCGCTATTTATTATGATGTAGATTATTCGCCCGAACAAAACTATGGATGTCATAATTCCTCTTCAAATCAAATACCACTAAGTACTTATAGTGCAAGACCGCCTTCAACCACATATTATAAGTGAAAGACGTTAAATTAAATCAAATTATTTGATTCGATTTTTTATTTGATTTTTTGGTCTTTAAAAATTATTGCCTTTACATTATAATAATAATAATATGAAGCAAAAGAGAAAGCAAATCTTAGTTTTAAGGAACTTACTTAAATTCTACTCTTTCCTAACTTTTTTATTTTTTATTTTTATATATAAAACATCAACTTTTATTAAAATCAAACAAGACTGATATATATTCAATAACGAATGGAAAAATCTCTGGCTTGCTTACAATATACTAAATTGACACTTTTCTCATTTCTTTAAGAATATTCTCAAAATGCCAAAGAGTTGAATAAAAATAATGAAGAGAAGTGATTTTCTATGGACATAATCTGGTTATCAAATAATTTGATTTGATTTTTTTCGTGTTTCAATCTTTCCTTACACATCAACAAAGTTTCTTTTTGTAAATATTTAACAAAAATTAATAATTGTTTAATACTCAGATTTTTATGTGAAAATTTCACTCATTAATTTTACACGTCATTTTTCCACTAGCAACTTTGCTTATGAATAAAATTTTCTGAATGCCGGTACTTACACATAAAATCCTTTCGATATTTTTTTTTCATTTAGTTTTCTTTTAAGAGATTTTATTTTTTTTTTCTTTTTCGGTATTCATTATTGATTAAACACATTCATTGAATTATATTTTTTTTTATATTATATATGCGTAATTAAGAAAACCTCATTGAAATCTATCTTTCTTCTAAGTTTCTCTCAATTTATGTTTTTTTTGTTTGTTTTTTATGAATGGCGAATTTTGAGTTTTCTACTTACTAATTTCATTTATTTATCGTCAAAAAGAATTGTGTTCGCCAGTCAATAAAGTATTATTCATATTATCTTTTTTTTAAATTTAACATTTTTTTCATTTCATTTTCAAGTACTAAATATACAAGAATGCAGAATTTAGCTGTTGTTTGTAGAGACAGAGTGAGATGTAATGGCTTGTGATTTATTAAATATTGAACGACTTTATGTAAAATGTTTAATTAGCGATATCCCTTTTTCTAATGTATTCATACAAGCCGATCGCTATGTCGCTAAAAAGAAAGTAATGATAAATGAGTGAATGATGCCAACAGTTTAATGAAACAAAAATATTAAAAATACAAACCTTCTCAGATTGCTAATTTGTTGTTCGAGGCTGCTTAAATTGCGCAGCAGCTTGTAATTGTATTTGATAAGCCAAATTATGTATCTTAAAACCATACAATCTAATGAAATAATAAAAAGAAGAAATGAGAATATTACTAAATCTAATTCATTAACATAGTATTTTTATTATGAAGAATACAAACCTTGGAACGAATTGATTAGCAGGTCTTTTAGGTCTATATTCGGGATGTACCATAAAGAGCATATGAGGAAACCCTGTACCAAAGTATGCACCATCAGTATGATGATGACGAGAAGATTTTGGAGTGTATACATCAATACATTTCGGACAGTAAGATTTGACCATAGCTTCACCGGGAACGTCTGAAAGACCTAAAGGAAGCATTGGCTGACTTTCGCAATAAACTCGAGGACAATGCCCAAAATCACCGCTTTGATATTTCTCAATCATTTGCGCGATTCCACGATTAGTTAAAATATAACGAGCATGAATTAATCCATATAACATTTCAGCAGCTTGCTCAATGAGATCCGATTGATTTGGATTTACATCAATCTCATCCTCGTCAGGCTCCAAATCTAAAATCATGTCTAAAGCTTGTCGATAATTGGGAACTTGCTCATTGAGTCCAGTCAAATTAAATTTGTCCTGAATGTAATCTTCGTCCACTTCACAAAAGAATTCATTTCCACGCAATCCACAGAACCAAGAAATCCAGGATACTTCTTCAGAACTACTCATTTTTCTATAATCACGAAATTAAAGATAGAAGAAATTTAATATTATAAATTTATTAACCAATATTAAGCTCAGTATATGTATATCAAGCAGCACAAAAAAAAATGAAAAAGTCATGGCGAATGTATGTTTAAAAAAGAAAGTATAATGAATAATAATTAAGGCTGGATATCGTAAAACAAATCGCACCATAAAGAACAATATAAAGTCCTTTACCTTTAATATTTGGTTTCCAAAATGATATAATTTTAACAATTTAATGCGTTATTAAAAGCTTTCCCTATTAAAACATGTATTTTCCGTGAAAATGGAGAGAAAATTTTGGATTTATTTTTTTACTCAAATAAAACTTTTAATTCAATTTGGATCAGAAGCAGAGCGTGTTTAGTTGATATGATTGATTTTTACCTTTTTATACCTCCTTTAATATTCAAAGAAGCCACTCTATAATTAATAAAAATTTTAAAATATGAAAACTGTAGTCTGAATACTCTTAAACGCACTCACTCTAGATGCTATCAAACGTACTCTCTTTTTCAAATCTTTAAATATCCGTTATTTTTTTTACATTTAAGACACAACGATATCAAGTTATAAGATGTAAGTAATGTGATTTTCAAAAAACTTTATTATTTTTTAAAGTGATTAAAATATTCTCAAATACATCATAACGCTATAAAAAATATGAATACGCTGTCATAAATGATAAATTCCTCTACAAATTAATGCTTTAAATAAATTATGTGTGTATGATAGGTATAATAGGTAGGTTGGATATTTGATTATGATTTGTGGCAATATTTTTTTTATGAAATAATTGGTGTTTTACTTGATGATACGCCTGGGACCAGCTCTTGATGGCGGTGCTGGTTTTGCAAATTGTTGTCTATGAAGCGTTTTTTTGGGATACAATTCACTTAATAAATTTTCTTCAGTCACTTCTGATGGATCGTCAACTTCAAGTTTTTTTGTGAAATTAATTCCAAGAGTATGTATCTTATCTAAGAATGGAGCTTTACAGGATGAATACATCATTCGTTCCTTTACTGAGCAATTGGAAGCCATGCTGTAGATAAAAACAAAACTCTCCTGATAATCACCTTCATAATAATGCTTGAAGAAATAAATATGAAATCTAGCATGATCAGTTGGCATCATTGATGATAATTTAGTAACTTCAATACTCTCAGCTTTCGTAATATTAATTTCTTCCTGATCGAGATCAATTTCAAATTGCAAATAATTGTAAGATCCACGCTGAATGTCTCTAATTGCTTGTTGAGATGCTTCACTAACTGGACAATTTAAACCACTCATTGTTTGGTGACGTGAATCAATTCCGATATTAGTTTTAATTTCTGTACGGCGCATCTCGTTAATTTCTTGCTCACGTTGTGTAAGAGGTGTGGTTGCCTGCTGAAAGACTTTGTTCTTCTTATAGCCATCAAGACTCATTTCTTCTAAATTTGTCGAATGATATTCCTCTTTTAAATTTCCCGTATTAAATTCCTGTTTGAGTGTACTTTTTGTACTTGCGTAAATCATCTTTTCACGAATAGTTGCAGTATCCTTAAAAAAGAAACAATTTCCAGACACAACATACAGTATGAGTCATAAGTTTTTCATTTTAAAGTGCTTACCGGAATCCATGATATAAGCATCCAATAATAGCTATCAACGGCTTTATTAATTTCATCAAGTCGATAAAGTATGTAGCAAGGAACATTCTCTTCAATTACACTGCCAATGCATTTATCAAAATCACTTTCCCAATCTTTCTTGCTTACTTCCTTGTAACATCCAAGTGCTAGTTCCTCTATAAAATAAATTTTCTGTTGTCAAATGTATTTTAACTATACGCTCCTAGTCACTTACCATTTATAATAGATACTTTCACAAGTCTGTATTTACTGCTCTTTTTCTTGCATTTTGCAAAAAAGTTTAATAATTCATTATTAGCTGAAAATAGACAAAATAATGTCATTTTTATTAATCTTTTCTTTGTACCAAAATTAGTCAATTCCTTACACTTGATTCCTGTTTTATGTGACATTATAACTCCTACAAAATGTAGTTTAAATTCAAAATTTTGTTAATTCAGGAGAGATCTTTTTACAGAAATTTTTTTGATGATATTTTCAAAGAAGATGCTAAATTGTCTGTCCCCCTACAAACAGGCTGACTAGCTTAATCAGAGAAGAAAAAAACGTTTGTTTGAACTTCGATTCATATCTGAAATTGTGTGCTAGTTTTAAGTTAATGTATGCCAAGACACATTTTGAGATTGCAGACAGACCTATGATTATTAAGCTAGATGTTTAGCATATCTGTAAATATCGATATTGCTCCAATACATTGCAGTAGTAGATCTATCTCGATTTGAACTTTTTAAATACGTTTGTGAGAAAAAAAAGTCTGAAAAATAATGTAGCATGCACAGTACTGTGTCAAGAGAATAGATATTATTGAGAGTATTTATTGAAAGCATAAATTTACATACTCGTTTTTAGGTAATATTGTTTTATTTATGCAGTTTCAAAACATTTCAAAATTTCCACAATGAGGAGAGATAAAGTATTTAAAGTACGGTCTGACAACAAAATGTATCGCGGTATTTGATTTAAAAAAAAAACTAGAAACCTTATAGAGTATATCCTGATGTGTTAAAGAAATTATTATTCAATATTTTTTTTTATTTTATCGTTTACCATAAATGCCTTTTTATTATTATCACTGAAACCCCACTAAATCAGTTAATAACCTAAATATATAATTAATATATACAGTTCAATATTGATAAGTTCTATTCAATTGCTGGGACATACCCATTAAAATAAAAAAATTCTCATCATCATTTTCAAGTATGCCCCAGCGACACAGAAGCTTTCCCAAAATAATATTTAACATTTTTTTATCAATGATCCGAGTCATGTCCTCAGATTTTGAAATATTTAAACTCTCTTTAATGTTTCTTTATTGGGTAATTAGTTATTTTAAATTTATATTAGTTTTTTTTATTCTTCTTCTTCTGTTTGTTTTGTTATGCAGATTATTTAAAGTTTGGTGAATTATTTCCGTGCGAATTATGTCCATTTCCGTTCCCATTATTATTGTTGCCACGGGATGATCCACTCGATGCACTATCTGAAGAATTTTGATCGGATCTTGGGACCAAAACAACGGAACCGTCGGCAGATTGTTGTAAACTATACTGATAAGAACTGTATGGATTTCCATCATTATCACGCAAATTCGTAAAAACGTGCCTATAAAGTGCAGCAAATTTATCTTTTATGCGTCTACGTTCAGTCAAAAGCATTTCTCGCTCGCGAAGGAAACGCTCCTTTCTCATCTTCATATCTTTCACCTCGTCAGCAAGCGATACGATTTGATCGAGTTTACGTTTACGGCAATTTTGTGCTGCTACTTTGTTCTTTCCACGACGACGTATATCTCTTATTAAAGAGAGCTGATTTTCACTCAAATCATACTTTGACAAACGTTCGTTGAATTCATCCATTGGCAAATTAATGATATCTTGCACCTTTAAAATTATTATCGAAAATAAAAAGATTGAGTTAGGTAATTGACAGATACGAATAATTGTAAAGTAATAAATTAATAATTACCGTGATTGGAATTTGCAAAGATCTTGCGCGTTTTTCATCTCGTGTCAAATGTTCATCTTCGATCTTTTTCGATTTTTTATCACGAGTTTGTGGCTTCGGATTGGCACCGTTTCCATTCAATAGCTGTGCCGCTGAATGAGGATGTGGAGGCATGACATATGTATGGTTGTGACTAATAAGTTCATTTGCAGATATGCCGTTTGCATTCTTATGTCTTTGATGTGGAAAATCAAGTGAGTATGAATATTTCATTTCGGGATCCATTAAGGTTGTTGGTGGTTTGATGACACTCGATGCTGCTGATGATGTTTGATTTACAGCATTTGTGTATCCTTCATATGGTTCATATTTTAATGGAATATTAGGAATGGCTTCTGAAGTTCCAACATTTGATGGATGATGATGAATTGGTGGCGGTGGAGGCAAAAGTGATTCATGTGCAAATCTCTTGCCATACATTTGATGCTTCTTTTGTGGTACTTGTTGTCGATTTGTTTCCATCATGCGACTATTGTTGTAACGATAATCATATGGTCCGATAAACTTTCTGCTGAATACATAAAGTAAGTATACAAAAATCGATTTTAAATCAAGTGTTGTAAAACTTACGATTGATACTCTTGAGCAGAGTCACTGCCAGCTTCATTCCATTCACCATCAGAAAGTGATGCAACTCTTTCTGATCCCATTGAACTTACAGCACTGTCGCTAGATGCGTCTAATCTATCACCACTGGTGACATGTGGTGCTGTAGATGAACTGCTTGTGGATGTTGAAGCAATACCCGACGATAAATTTGTGTGCATATTTGAACCCATCAATGCATTTGTTGAACCGAGAGAGGCATTAGCACAGCTATTGTTTTGATCCAACATACGCATAGTGTACATTCCTAAAAATAATAAATGATCATTAGTACTTACTCCTTAAATTGGAAAGCTTTTACAATTTAAATAAATTTATTAATTATGCCATTTTTATTTCTCTTGTACCTAATAACGTGAACGTTGATAACATTTTTTTTATTTAATTTTCTTTTAAAAAAATTTTTAAATTATCTTTTACTTGGAGTATTAATCAGTAATTTTCTTCTTTTATTATTATTAGTTGAGTATGAGTTGAAGTTTTTTTGCTGAATCATTTGTTATACGATAGTTGAAGTTGAATAAAATTTTAGTTGGTAATTTCGTATTATGTTAATTATTTCAAGTATTTCTCTCTTCGAAATGTACACACAAAATATTTTCGGTACTTTTATGTTTGTCGTGTATGCGCAATCTTAATTGTGGATAAGTTAGGTTTTTCTTCTTCTTCTTTCTAAACTTTTCTCTTATAGAACTTTGGAATATAAATAAAGTTTTTGTAATGCAAGCTCATATTAGAATTCAAATTAAGTTGAGCGATGTGAATGTTTAAAATAATTTATAAGACTTTCATTAAAAAACAAAAGTTGAAAAAAAAAGTTCACAAAATGACTTGCGCTAAGCTACTCCAAACTACTTCTTTCAGCTGAATGTTGTTATTTCATACAACATTTTATTGGCAATATCTTATCAGTTTTATTTATTGATAATACTCTGTGATGTATTTTATCGCACGCAAATGACAAATATATTTCCAAAACTGGCTAGTCAAGATTTCAAACACATGTATATGTGCTCAACACTTTTTTTTCTAATTCTGTTTTTCGAAGTTTTTTCACATTTCTTTGCCTTTACAAAGGTATCAAAAGATAACGATTCAGTTAGGCATGATAAAATATTAAAACAGTTCAATCGTGATTACTTATGAAAAACAACCCACATTAAAAATTATTATTATGATGATGTGGATATATTCTAGAAGTTTTAAGTCACACGTAAGAAAGTTTAAGCTTTTCTTATTGGAAACAATTTCCTATAAGAATATCCTCAATAGAAATGAAAATTGCATTAACGAAATAAATATAGCTTGAGAAATTTTTTACCTTCATTAACAGCCATATCCATAAGTTGTAAGTCTTCATCGTTGAAGATATTCAAAATGCCGTCGCTTGGATGATTAATTTCTGCTGGATTTGCTTGCTGTAAGCACATAAAGAAATAATAAAACGCAATTGTCACGGTGTTTTCCTTAAGTATAAGTTATATATAAAGAAGAAGAAAAAAGAGCTTTATCATACCGAATAATACATTAAATCATGCTCCATTTTGTACGGTGTTTGGTTTCCTGCATCTGTTTCTGAGTTTGAGTTTGTCAAATGCATGCTCGATGCAACAGCAGAGCCCAAATTAGAGCTATATGGTTGCAAGTGATGTGATGTTGAAGGTTGTGCTGAAATATCAGCGAGTGACGCGTTATGAAGTACGGCTGGATGGGAATGTGGATGAGCGAATTGACCGTGCTGTGTCATCGGTCCGCTTGCCTGATTAGGAAAATGAAAAATCAATTTTTGCAATTTATGCAATATTTTTTATAAAAATTTTAATTCAACAGGAACTATGAAAACATGATACTCACTTGATAAGGATAATGTGGTGGATAATGAGCGCTGGCATGTGAGGACATATCAGCCATTCCCATTGCAGGTGGAAAACTTAGCAAATTGGCCAAATCTTGCCAGCGTTGCTCCATCGACATTGTGCGACCCAAGGAAGGAACTCGTCCCTATTTTTTTTTGAAATTTAAATTTACGTATTAAAACAATATTAGTACTCGAGGAAGAAGATTAATCTTATCGTATTGTTCTTGTTTAAAGTTAACAGAAAACTAAAATGTTAAAGGTCGCGTGAATCGAAAAAAGTCAATCTTATGAAGTATATCGCACATGGCTTCATTATGTAATTAATTAATAATATCTTGCGAAGTGCATACATACATATAACTAATAATTTTGTTACTCAAGGTCTCAGGTCAGTTGAATGAATAACAATACTTATTAGATTTTTTTTTTAAATTCTATACAATTCATAAACATATCATTTATTTTGGATATACTTCCGTTGTAAAACTATAAATTTTTTGAATAAAAATTTATACTCAGTTTCTTTAGGCATTTTTTCGAGTACACTCCGATGTAGCTTTTATTTTGTTTTATCAGCATTTTTATCGTTCTGAAGAGGATAGAGTTCAAATCAATACAGCACAAGTATGTACTCATTACAAATTTACTTTAACTTTCCATTTCTGATTTTCTACTCAATTTGTTTCTACATTGTAGGCACACATGTATGTTGATACTTTTCAAGACGACGATTTTCAAGAAGAGGTATAGCTGAAGTTTGTTATTAAGTTTAAAAAAATTCTTTTAATTTTTTTTACTAGAAAAACTTTTCGAGTGTTTACTCAACTACTTTATATTTTAAATTATTAAGAAGAATCCTTCAAGCAGGAAGGTGTAATTATTAAACATATTTATTTTAACGAAAATTTCTCTGTTATTTTTTCTTTCTTAAGTGTTTATACCTGGAATTATGTATTTTCTTGTCTCATGGATTTATCTTAAAATCGAAATGTTCATATTTTTCTAAGTGCTTTTTTCTTCCTCTCTTATATTTCAATGCTATAATATTGGGTAGTTCCCTTAAAAATTGCTCCTTTCTATCCAATTTAATATTCTTTCAACATATCGAGCAAAAAAATTGTTTAATTCAATAATTAAAGCTGTATTAATTTGTTTTCCATCTGTTAAACAGTTATATTGAGTTAGTAATCACCTGATTTCCTTAAAACTTCAAAGGATTCGTCGCAAACTTATTTGCGATACTTTATTTACAGAAAAAAAAAATTGTAAACAATTTATCCGCTGAATAGTGCTGAATTGCATTAATTGTAATATTATTTAAAATCCAAAAATAACGGAAATCTATTAAATGCAACACTATAAGAAGCAAGTATATCCTAATTTGAGATCAATCAGGAACTTTTACGATGCAGTTAGGAATATAAAGTTACGATACATAAAATGTTGTCAAGTGTCAAAGATCAAATATTATTTTTGATTGGAATATTGAAAGAAATCCGTTGAGCACTCTTGAGGATATTGAAAGCAGTTTTCTACCTGTTCTGTTCTAACATAAAACCCAAATATGTGTGAGAGGTGAAGAAAATATGTGTAAATAACAAAATAAATTATGACATTTTGTGGTGGAAGTCTTTTAACCAAGGCACAAAGTCAACATAAAACAGGTAGCAGTATTTAGTGTCACCATACAATGTCCTATTGATTTAACATTTCTCTAACGCAACCATGAATTTCTAAGTAGTAATTTGTGTATTCTTTTTTTATGATGTTCCTTTAACATTTTCTTTTGTTATTCTTGCAAGTCAATTTACCTGATAGCTAGATTGTCGATAGCTGTTGACACAGTGTGCATAATTCTGATTTGTTTGTCGAGGATGTTGAAAATGCGTTGCTGATGGTTGAATCATCATTTCGCTGAGTAAATCAAGGTCTTCTGTTTCGTCAAGTAATATGGACAATGAAGAATTTAAATCGAAATCAAAATCATCTTTATCCGCTCCAATATCAAGTTTTAAATTATTTTCAAGTGTTGCCTCAAGATCTTCAGTTGTTTCTTCTGAATCTTCTTTTTTCGACTCTTCGCTTACTTTTTCAACAGTATTTTCTCCTTTCTTGTTCTGCTGCTTTTTTTTGATTGTTTGTTTGTTAAATTAAAGAGAATAATGATAAATTTTTAAGCCTACATCTCATTATTGCAAAACTTACGTTTAATTCACTGATATTATTTAACTGCAGAGGTTCATCGAATAATAAAAATTCGCTTGAATTATTTTCACCGTTGTTTGATTGTAAAATATATTCACCTATAAGTAAAGTTAATTGGTTAGGCTTACATGGTTCATTATTGTTGCATTGACATATTCTTATATCGAGCTGTGAGTTTTACAATTTTTAAGAGACATGATACCTTAATTTTAAATAAACTTACTATAAACCATAGAAGAGTATCGAATTTCATTTTTGTAAATAGGCTTTAGGGATTTATTGATCTATGCTGATTCAGCAGTTCAGAATTTTCAGTCAAATATTAAGGAATAATTCTTAAGGAGCTTGTTAGCTCTAATTTGAGAATACAATCATATCATGACACATTAAATTATATCAACAATGATTTGATACTTTCGAGGAGTCATGCATGCGCTGAATATTTTTAGAATGTTGCAACGAGCGACAAAACTATGACTAGTCTTTTTAAAATAAAGGTACCAAAAAGTGAGCAAATAAGAATAGAGATTAAATATTGCTAATTCCGGAAAACGAAAGAAGTTAAACCTTAATTGTTCTTAAATTTTTAAGTTTGTTTATTTTAGAGGATGAACTTGGATAAACTGAATATTGAAAAGCAAATATAACTGAGAATGATTATCGAGAATTGTGGCTTATCATTTGTTAAAAAAAAATACTTGTTTTAGGATCTGCAAAGAGGATGTAAAATATGAATTTGTTACATGTAAATTCTTTTCTATACTTTCGATTAAATTTTTTAATATTATAAAATTATATTTTAATGAAAGGCTATATTTATCGACTACATATTAATGGCTGAAGAATGCCTTGCTTGGATAATAAACATTTTTTTTTTATATTTTCTTTATATCCAACTTCGGTTTCTTAATAATCAATCGGTATTCAGAAGAAAATAACAATAACAAAGTGGAAAGAAGAAATACCGCGGTGCCTACAAACGAATTTTTTTCATGGTGTTTCTTCATCATTAAAAGACAGCCATTTTGTTATTATTCCAGACGTCGTGTTCATTCGTTAACAATAAAATTTCATTATTTTTTTTTCCACTTTGCTCGTTTCTTTTATGGGATTGTCTTCCTTTCAATCTCACTCTTGAGAACGACTTTTTTTTTCTTTCTTAATTTATTTTCAAAAAAAAAGAATAAGTTTTTTCCTTGCATCAAAAAACCAAAGAAATGAAATAAAATAAAAATTGATCGACTATCCTACAGATGACTTCGACACATAATACCATTTAACATTTCACCTTAATACAAATATAAAACTTTGTTTGCTTACATATAGGCAGGCAATTTTGATGAATATTGGGGTTGACAAATTATTGTCTACCGTATGCTATCAAAACGTGTTAATTTTCCTCAATATAGGTGGGAAAGGAACATAAAAAAAAAACATTTCATGAATTCTTTTCCGCATATTATTTTCATTATGGTAAATTTTATTTACAAATTCAAAGCACAAAATGAAAAAATTAAAAAATCATTGTGGATTATAAAAATTTCATTCATTGTAGGTCTTTCGCATCAACGTTATGGCTTAGCGATATACCTATCATCAGAAAAATTATAATCGATTATTTCATTTCATCTCTCTTAAAATTGAGAATCTCAATTTATGTATGTACGTTTGATGTGATGTTCATTTCATTCAATATAAATAAATCTTTGAAAGCATTTTCTTTATTTCTTTCAATTCTTTGTGATAGAGTATTGACATATGAGAAAGCGAGAAGGTATTTCTCGTCGTGAAAAAAAAGAACATGAAAGAACGCTTGAGAACGTGCTGACACTGACATTTAATAAAGGATGCGAAAAAAATATGTAGACACAATATTATTAGATATTATCGCAAGAAATACTAAACGAAGAAAAGTCAGAAATACATTTTTGAGTAGAGGAATGATGGAAGATTAGAAATAAGAAACTTTTAGTCCACGCCGGTTATAGCATATTCATTTTTTTACGAAGAACTTTACCTGCTTCTTTTTAAATAAAAATTCTTCGGCATATTTTTTGTCTTTGATAATGCGGGCATGCATTTTATGCATCTTAAAACTATTACTCAAATTATTTTGCGTAGACTTTTTTTTTTGACAAATTAATTTTTCATATTTAAGATTTTGTTGTTTTCTTAGAAATATAATCATAACTAAGGTAGTACCTAAAATGTCAATATTTTTTATGACTAATGATTATTTTCCAATATTTAAAAGGTGCACAAAATATGAAAGAATTTTTGTGATTAATGATCTTTATTTGCATCCATTTATTACTCTCTGTATTCAGTCAGTTTTCCTATTGTATACTTTTCGTCCTTAGAGAATTAAGTTGTACCATTTTAAATAATATAGAACTGCTCTAAAGAATCATAAAACTATAATAAATGAAATTTTTCGATAATTTTTCAATTTTAGAGGAATGTCTTATTTCTTTTCAATGATCAAATGCTATAGGGTTCAAAAATTTATATCTATTCAATTTATTACTATGAATACTATTATATTATATATTTCGAAATTAAGTTACGCCATTTTATGATACAAATATAAGCAGCGGTTTTAAAATTCTATTAAGCTTTTAAATTAATGTTTTAGAATTTGCTTAAAATTGACATGGAGTTAATATTTTTGTTGATTTTTGTGTCAAAGGAATTAATAAGATTGATAAAAAAAAGTTCAATCGATTGAAAATATTTGACTAACAATTGATGTAGCAAAATGCAGAAAAAGTTAAGTTATAATTTAAAATTTTTTAAAGTTTGCTTCAAAAAATGTCCAAATGACGAGCATGTGTCAAGTCTCTTTTTGTGCATTTTCTGAACTTTCATTTTAAAAGCATGTTCTACTTTAAAATTTGGCATTCAACTTATGAAAACCGAAGTAACACCAATATTAAAAGTATTAATTGTCTTTCATTTATGATTTTTATATTTTCACAAGTTTAGGAGAATATTTAACTTCAGTTAACAGACTATTAAGAATCCCAAGATAAAATTTGGTTCGATTTTAAGAAAACTCGAGACTTCATTCAAACTGTAAAATTCTGAACTGATCATCATGTATGAATTTTAACGATTGTGCTAATCTTTCATTATAAAAGTTGCAATAACTAGACAAGCAAATTGAAAACTATTTCGGGTACAAAGCATGGTTTTTATACTTCAAAAAGTCTCTTTTTAACTGTAAGATTAATAAATAAATATAGCGCAAATAATACATACCTAATTAGATTACGGAAGCTTTCTTAAATTACTTTAAATATGTATATTTTGTGAGATCATATAAAATTCCTTCAGAAGTAATGAAATATGAGTATATATATATATAAATTTTTTTTGGAATCTCAGTTTAGACTTATTATGACACTAAATTTCATTATATTAAATAACTTATTAATTATTATATTTTTACTGGGGATTTGTGTTCTATCCTTTTTACAAATCCTCTTATTGTAATAATATTGTTTTGATGTATTTTTCACTTAATTTTATTTTCTTTATATTTTTTTTAAAAACTAAACTTTGCGAGTTACAGCGTTTTCACATGATTTGAACCTTATTTTAGGCTAAAAGTCAAATTTTTCATAAATCCTGATTCAATTTACTTCTTAGTTTTTTTATAATTTAATCAAGATTGCAATTTTTTATCACTTTTAACTAATTTTTAAGGAATTAAAATCCTTTTCCTTACACAATTCTTCAATAATCTTGTGCGAGCATCCAAACACTACAATGTAAAACAGACTAATACTGTGAGATACAGAGTAACCACAAAAAAGCATAAAAATCATACCAGATCAAATCTCTCACACACACAAAGATATAATGCCTTTAAATAAAAATAAAAATGAATAAGAATTGAAGAAATGGGCTTGGTTCGAATAGAGAGAAAAAAAGAAATACAACTAATCATTTAATATGATACCTCTTGTTATAAAGAATTGCACAATAAGAGTATTGTATACATATATAATAAAACCAAAAAGAGGCGGATGGTAGAGAACACTTTTGCGCTGTTCCATAGACCAATCATGAAACAAGTTTTTATGTTTCTTCATTTCTCTTCCTTTGCTTATTCGACAAACACTAACACTATTACGCTTGAAAACCTTAAAAATTGGCTTCGCTATCCATTTCAAGCAGCATATAGAAGAAATATTATATGCAGCAAGTTGACTATGATAAATGATGACGATGGATTAAAATGGTAGGCTAAATTTATCAAAAAGGAAAGGAATCATAAAGGTTTTTAATCAATAAAACCATTCAAGACATCCAATCTCTCTTCTGTTATCATATTTTCTTCAAGAATAATCAAATTCAATACAACGATCCGTATGTAGGTGCTTTAGACATTTTCATGAAAAAAAAAAAAATAACCAAAAATAATTAAAAAGATATCTCTGGCAGTGAGGGAGAAAGCCGCAAGATGTTGTGAATAAGAGAAACTTTTACATAAATAACATTTCAAGTAAATTATAACTTATAATTAAATAAATCTCTGTTGGATATTTTTCCAATTATAAATCTTCACTCTAAGCGGTTTTCATTTGCATTAATACTGAAATCAACGTTACTTTTCATTATTGGGTAATTTTCTACCATATTGTTTGATATAAACTCACTCAATTTATAAAGAAAAAAAAAAATCTCAAAAGTAATTGTTATTGATACCACCATTTTTTTCTTTTATTAGTTGGTGAATCAACAATAGTATGAAAGAGGCTAGAGATGATCTATGAAAAAATGTTAAAAAAGTAAAAATCATTTTATTAGCTTACTTTTTCTTTGAATGAATGTTTACATTCAATTGAAATAAAAGTTAATGTAGCCAAAATTACTTGCTTAATTTAACCGTTTTATTCGATTGCTTTGAATAATTTATGCAGGGTTTTAAAGCCATTGTGCCTTTTATTTCCCATATTCTATTTATTCACCTTTTCATTAGTTTCTATTTAGATAATTTTACTTCTTGCGCTTAGAATTGAAGTCATGCACATATTTTTGGGTATTTTGACAACATTGAAGCTTTAACATTTTTACAGGGACCAAAATGAATGAAAAAAATCTGTGATAAAAAACATCATTATTTTTGATGATTAAAAAAATTATGAAGTTGTAAAGTCTTTAACAGTTCTTGATTGTATTTCTTGTTTGACAGCATTGGGGCAAGATAATGAAGTCTTCCTAAAATGGATACCTGGACGCAGTGGTATTGAAGGTAATGAAACAGCTGATCAATTAGCTAAAGAAGCAGTACACAACGAAGCTTATGTACTATGGTTTTGGCTTGTTGAAGTCAAACATACGAGAATGGATGGAGAGACTTTTCGTATCTGGAATTTAGAGGAAGGAGCCATGACAGTCAAAAGACTTCTTGGTCCTAAAAATAAGAATAAAATATCAGATGCTCTCAGACTACTAAAGAAAGACCTTAGCATCTTAATTGGTGCTTTGACAGGACACATGAGTATCAATAGTTCTCTTTTTAAATTGAATTTGTCTAACAGTAAAATTTGCAGGTTTTGTAATGTGAAGGAAGAAACAATCATTTATATACTTTGTAAATGTAGGTCATTACGAGGACAACGTGTCAAGCATTTTTAAGGGGACTATTTGAATGATGAGGATATAAATAAGCAGCATTATCAGGACATTATTGATTAAAAATCATAATTTTTTTCATCATCAAAAATAATGATGTTTTTCATCACAGATTTTTTTCGTTCATTTTGGTCCCTGCATTTTTATCTTAATCACATCCTATACTAAAGTCTTCAATATTTAAGTTGGGATAATCTCTTAAAACAATAAACGTTACTTCAGCATTATAATTAAGGTTATAGTCTAAATTTATTTTAAATGAAAATCTTAAGATAAAGAACTCAAAAATGAATTTGAGATTTTTCTCAAAAAAGTTGTTGAACTACTACACCAATCAATAGGAAACGATTTAAAACAGAATTAACAAATTTCATAAATTTCTATTGCTTAAAAATATCGAAGAATCAAAAAGAGTAGTAGACAGTTTCGAGACATAAATGATTATACACAAACAATTGTAAGCAGCAAATTGTGCTTAAGTATTTAAAATAATACATAACTAGTGTACTCATCATGACTTATAAAAAGAATTATGAGAAAAGAGTATTGAATATTTAAAATGATGATATTGCTAATATGATATACAAAAAAAAAATCAAGGAAGAAATTTACATAGGCTGGCTATTGCAGTACCTACTACATTACTTTCATTCCATACAATTTTTGTTAATTCATTATTAATCTAAGCGCATAAAATTATCTGTGGTTATGGTTTCTACTTTATTTTATAAAGTGTCTGTCTGGAACGACTTTTTGCTCTCTCACTTACTTCTGGTTACCAATTATTATTTCGATCATTCATCATGATTTGTTAATTTTTTCGTAGTTACAATCATCATCATCATCATAGGCAATTCAATGAAAGTGAAATTTAGTGTTAAATACTATATTATGTAGTTTAATATATATTCGTTGATCTTTGCCTTGTATAAACTAGAATTTATGTATTAGTGCCATTCTAACATATTTAAATGAATTTATTCGATCGAGTTTCGCAATCTAATTATAAAGACGAATTGGAATATAAAACTAATAAATAAAATATTCACCTGACTTTAATTAAGTTTGTGCACATAGTCGTTAACTCACATGCTTCAATTAATTGCTAAGAAAAAATATATGTCTGGTATTAAAGTTACGTTCGTGCTTGGATTCGTCATATCGCTTCATTGAAATTTTCAAATAATGAAAGCTTCATTGTAGCTTATTGCTATTATTAAAACATTTTTACAGATCTGAATAACATTGAATTGAGGTTTTTTTTTGTTAAGTACGTAATTTGAGACCGTTTAAGGAAGTTTTAATTCTTATCTTCACATATATATAATAAATATAACAGGAAGACAGGCTTTATAATTTGGAACTTAAAATAAAATAATATTTATTTCAATTCTTTCAACTTTGTTTAAGGACTGTTGTTTTGAATTTAGAATTATTTTAATTCAGATTCATAATTTAAAAACAACTGGCGCAATGAGTGGACTTTAAAAGTTTCAAAACGTGTCTCACTTTCGTTTTTCCTAATGATGTCTTTTGAAGACTCATCGTCTTTCTTAAATGCGGCGCTCCTTGAAATGCAAGAAAACAATGTAAAAATTACGACGTAAAATTACAGACTTTAAATTAAAAATTTTGTTCATGTCGGGAGGAATTGAGTGAGGATTTAAAATCTCTCCTACTGAGCATTTGTGGGCAGAATACTCTTATATAGCTTTTTCTTCGTGGCCTTATAATTAATCCACAGCTCTGTAATTTATCAAAATATTTTTTTCTTCATTGGTAAGATCATTAATTATTTTCGTTTTCCCTTCTTTTTTTGTTGTAAGAGTTTCAGCCATTTTGATACAACACAAAATAATGAGATTTTTGTATATTTCTCTGATTATAATTCTATAAATTTTGTGAGCAGAGTTAGATAAATTTATATTATGGCATGTACACAACAAAATAGATGGCTAGATATATTTCTTGTTGTTTCTATTTCTTTAATCAATATTAATTCTCAAACATTTTATCAAACGAATCGACTGCTTTTGGTATACTTCTTTTTTCATTAAATTTATTCGAGAGAAATCGTTCTATAACGCATTAGAAGGAAATTCATGAGAGTACACATAAAAGGCAAAAAGCATTATTTTCTTTATTTAAAAACAACCAACCATTCGAGATGAAAAATGATTCGAGAGTTACAAGGCAAGAAATATAAATTCCAAATGTTCCCTTTTATGAATACATGAAACGCAATGTATTAAAAGTATTGTTCTTTTTCAATCATTTTAAGCAACGCGTTTTTCGACAGGCGAATATTTTTCGAATAGTCCATAGCATAAACTGTAAATGGGAAGAATATTACTTATTCAGAATACATTAAACTGAAGGGTTCAATGATAATTTAGTATTCAAAAGTCATGCTTTAGAATTCTTTTAGAATTTTGTGTTCGTTCGAAGCTAAAAAATTTATTTCGACAATCAACGGGACTCGGAAATTCAAATAATATTAGAATTTTGTACTACAGGTTTTTTGTTCTTTAGAGTTTAACAGTTGAATATCCATATTATGTGATTTCATATTTATTCCTTTTAAAAGGTTAACTGAATATTTATGAATACGTGCTATTTTTAAAATGATAAGGTAAAATTCTGAAATTCAAAGTACAATGGACCGTTTTTTTCCCTTCTTTCTCAATTTTTGTCATATTTGCAGGTAGAGTATATGAGTTTAAATTCTATAATGTCATCATTAGATACTAAAATCCATAACCATTAATAAAATTTTCTATGGGCACAACTAAGAGAAGAAAATCTTGTCGTCACTATTATTTAATAGTGACAAAAGAACTTAAAATATCTTAATTATGTTTATGTACAGTAGTAGCTCATAAGAATATGCATTACATTTATTATGAAATTAAAGTTTTACTTACCAGTTTCTGTATCAATAGTGTATGATAAACCTGCCCATGGATTAAGATTGTTGCTTTCTTCAGATGGCTAAAATGTAATTAAGGACATTAGATAAGCCATTAAAGAAAAATAATTGTATAATTTTTTTAAAAAAAAACTAGAATGAATTTAAGTAAGTAAGACATTACCTTATCATCTTTCATTTCCAGCAGAGCTTTCAACTTTTCGATATCATCTTCTGCTGTGGCTTCTTTTTGTGACACTGATAATGGAGGGTTGTATCCCAAATCCACATCCTGCTTCCAAAGTACTTCAATTAAGTCCATTTCCTAAATAAAAAATAAGGAATTATAAACGGAATCAGAAATGTGAATATTTCATTAATAATGTTCTGAGAAGCACTGATATTGTGTGTGAAAATTGTATCTATTATCATTAAAAAAAAAATTTTTATCTCGTTTATCTTGAATGTCCAATATGATTAGTAATGATAAGATAACCAATACATTTCAAAAGTATGTAGCATTTTTAAAAACAGAAATTTTTTTTTGTAAATAAAGGTACGACACATGCTGAAAATATTGTAATTAAAAAGCAAAAAAATAAAAAAATTTTAGCATTAGCATTTATCATAAAAATATAAATGATGCTGGAAATTGAGTTCGTTGATAAATTATCCTTTTTTGAAAGAAGGTGTGGTTAAATTTATGCTACGCCTTATGCTCACAAATACAATGAAATGTCTGCATGATGAAACATATTATATATGTACATTAGGACTTTAAATGCGCACATTCTGTAGTTCACTGGCACAGTGAAAGTCGTAAAAGTTCTTCATAAATTAAATAAATATATATCTGCGGAATTATCAAATCAGGTATATTCTTTAATCTATTATCAAACAATTCAAAGTGACAATGTATTGTTGCAGCAAGAATAGATCAAATAAAAATTAGGTAATAATCAATCATCAAAGTCTCGTAAATATCTTTAAGTAGTTCTGTTAAACATAATTAATTACATTTAAGAAATGCAGAGTTCTATTTATTAATGACATGTTATAGCGGTTGATACTTTATTGTTCACAATATAATATTGTGGTAAGATAATTTTTCAATTTATCATGAATTCTGTGTCTTGTAATTCTCTTTAATACATTTCAAGAGCTATCTAGATAAAAACGAACGAAAAAAAGAGAATAATTTGAAACTAAATGTAGGAACTTTCAAAGAAAGTTTACAATAGCACAGATAGAAAGGACAGAAAAGAACAAATAACTTTCTTTTGATCATGCTCCCAAATATTTTGACAAGTTCTCAATACATCATTTATCACTCTTCGATCATGTAACATTGAAAAAAAGAAAAGAAATCATGCAAACTTTCTAAAGATCATTAAACCTTTGGAGACAAGTGACGATACCACCTACAATGTATTATTTTCTTTCTTTCTTGTATCTTTAAACGATACGTTTTCGAAGAATTAATATCAAGGCGAATCTATATACTATGATTAATTGATATTATTCGAAATCTCATGTGAGATCTATGAGAATTTCATTAGAATGCAATTCGTTTTGAATGATATAAAAACTCTTGAACATCCAACATATTTCGACAAACCTTCATGCATAATTGTTTGTATTTCTTTATCATTTAATTGTTGACCGCAATCGCTGTAGTAATAATGTAGAAATACAATTTAGTTCATGTAAAATTAATTTTCTGTGTGCTGAATAAATCACACATTTTAACCTTATAAGGTGATTAAAAAGTAATTTTAGCATGTGGATATTATGGTCTTAAATGAAAACAATTTCTTTAAGTCTTCAATCTATAATTTCATATTATAATTTTTGTGGTCAGATTGAAATTGCTAGTGTAAAACAAATGACCTTGACATTGCAGCAATATTAACTTAAACAACCTTGACGTGTTCGTCTTTTTGAAGTGTCGTAGAAAATAGAACAGTTCATCTCCGCAACTAAGTTTTGTTCAAATTTAAATTTGAATAATTATAAAAAATGGAAAAATAATTGATTTAATAATTCATCTTGACATTAATTAATCAATCTGTTCCATTTCATATTTATAACTAGAAAATTAATTTTTTAAAATAAATTTTCCGATATATTGGAATCTAGTAATTCTCGAAATGCGTAAAACTCTATAATCTCAAAACTTTTCTTCAACAGTCTTTTTACGTTGGAAGTAAAAATTCAATAATAGCTATATTCGTGTTGTGTAGATTTCATTGAACTTGGCTCAGACACAAGGAAAGTAAAAAAAAAAATAATATATAAACTGAGGCGTGGGTCAACGACGAAAACACATGCATTATTTTTGAAAGCCAAACTCTGTGCATCTTTTTTTACAGTTTAATTTTCACACATGAGATCAAGAAAAAAAACGCAATATAAACGCTAAAAATAGACATACAGTAGAATAAAGAGAATTTGGAATGCAATTTTTCTTCTTATTACTCATATTTTTTTTAAAATATGACTTTAAGTACATTTATAGTATTTAGGACAGACATTAAATTTATCTGAAGGATAAATACTGTTGTCATCATAATCAAGGGTTTTAAAAATAAATTCAAAAAATTATTTAATCACATTCAATTGTAAATGAAGCAAATTAAAAGTAATAGATCGCCTCAATCTCTTTTCTTACCTCCAATGTGAGCTCTACACTTGATGTTACTAATTCACCGTCATTTTCAAAACTTATTTCATTAGCTTCAGTCTTAATACTTTCAGTTAATTCTTTATCATGTTTTCGAAATACTTCTTCTGATGTCGAAGAATCATTCAAAAGAGAAAGATATTCATTCCAGTCTATCACATCTGATGTTGATAATTCAGTCCTATTCAAATTTAATTCCAATACGCTTAATCTATTCTCAATACTTTGTGATTCATCTTGTCGTCCAACAAGAAATCCTTGCTCGATATTTTCATGCTTTACGGGAACATTGAGGAAGTTTGGCATTTGACGATCCTCGTAGTCATGGAGATCAGCTAGGTTTTGATCAACAATTGATTCAATGTTTTCACTTGCTGAAAGATCCGAATTTAAAAAGACATCATCATGCTCAAGTTCATGAAATCTATTCCGAACTAAATTAACGAGATTCAGTGTAGGTTCTATTGATGATGCTTCAGTATTGCTACTTTCGTTGTCACTATGATTAATACTTGTTGTATTAGAAGCTATTGAAGTATTCGAGGTAGAATTTCTTTCTTGATTATTATAATTATGATTATTATTGTTAATTTCATTGTCATTTGTAGACCCTAGCGTTGGATAAGTATTATCAAAGTTGAGCAGATAAGCTTGCACATCGTAACTTCTTATTCTATTGTTATCTAAATCTATTAAATCCTCTATTAGTGGGACATAAGTCTTCCGATTCATATATGGATAGTCGGAAAATGATGTAGGAGCTATTTCTAACTGCCATGGTGAGCCATCATCGTAATTGTGAACCCTTGACACCCCCCATTCCAGATAATTTATAGGATCTACTTGAAGTAAACTTAACGCTAATACAAGCTGCAAGATTTGCTCACTATATAAAAACTTTTTTGAGATCATTTTGACTTATTTTTATTCCTTATTAATTATTCATATATTCTCCTTCCAAAATAAGCACGAAATTTCTTTGTTTTTACTTTACAACTTTTCTTGTTGTTGTTGTTGGCTTGTTTTTGTTTCGCAAAAGTATCATATAAAATCTACGTTTACGTTTTCAGTTTTTCTTTTTTGTTGTCTGTAAGCGTAAAATATTCTACTTCTTTCTATTGCATGATAAACTGTTAATATAAAGCACTAAACACAGCTAATAATGTTCTTCAATATAACTCTATTAAATGTTATATTTTATTATTCACATATCACTACTCTTCATTCTTATAATTCTCTCTATCAGTTCCTGTTCAATTCACGAGCTTTTTACACAATCACCATTTAATTAATTAACCCATTTGGTAGCTTTGCGATTTTGTCGTATTTTATTTCAATCTCTTCTTTTAATATTTTATTGTTGTTTATTGAACCTTTCGTGTAAAAAATGATGACTCAAAGTTTTTTGAACATTTACATATTTCGCAATTTTGAAAATACTTTGTATCAGATTTTAAATGCCGACTATAATTATTCTCTTTATGCGATGTTTCTTCCACTTTTTCGTATTATTGACTGAGTTTTCGTGAGGTTTTCTTAATTTTTCCGTCTACAAATTAAATAAATATACTTTGTATTTTTTTTTGTGTAATTTTGTAGGGGGTCAAAAACTCAATTAAAATCAATCTAATGTAAAAATTCAAAAAAATCCGTTAATTTTGAGGATTTTCAATTTCACCACAAGCGCACATGTTTCAATTTTGTCTTCATGTCTGAACTTTGCCCTCTTTTCTAGAGTCATTTCACTAATTTGACAATTACAAACATTTCAGCAATGATCAAATGCAGAGAGTTGAGTTGGAATGTAAAAAAGGTCACACAGAACGACACTTTATTAAAAAAGTCGACTGTATTACTTAAACTTGTTTTGTACAATAACACTTTTCACGTCATAGCTTTTTGAACTTTTCAGGATTGCCAGATTTAATAAGAACTAGAAGCTTCTTTATGTATCTGCATAAGTCATGAATTAAGATTTCACAAATCCTAAAATAATTTCAACACTATCAAATCGTACGATAATTAATATTGATTTGTTTCTCTTTTCTCTCACAATTTCTATATAAACCGGCTCAGATTTTTTGTCAACCTTGCCACTTAATTAATATTTAATAAACTGTATCGAACATAGGGTTTTTATTGATCTTTTTCTTATCTTTTTATGATATTTTGTACTTATATATTTTTTATAAAGATATTTTAATAAAAATTAAGTAAAGCTTCAGCAAATAATTTTATGTCTTCAATATTTGCAAACGAATCTTTAATGACTACATATATTACTGATGAGCGATTACAAAAAAAAAATATGACATCACACCATTCAGTTATATTCAAATATTTATATACGATTGTAACTTAATGGATAAATTTTTTTCCTTTACAAAGCGGCAAAGAGGAGAAGAAAGAAAAATGTGCGGGAAATTCCAAAACCATTATTTTCTTGCCATGCAAGCACGTTGGATTTTCCTTTCTCTTGTGATTTGGATAGCAACACGTTGTAATTTTTTTTTAAATTTGGATAACAGATTTTTATCGACACTTCTTTTCACACAAACGGATATAAATTAGTCATAAAGAAATGCTGTTCTACTTACTTTTGATGAAACTGATTCAACTGGTAGCGGACTTGGTTGAATATCGGACGATGGACTTAAAAGCATGCTCATCCGAGGTAACAGGTCCTCATCTGCTATGTCAACCATCATTTTGATAAATATGATTGTTTAACTACCGTATCCTTAAGTTTATGTATGTCTGAAAAGTGTATATAATAATAATTATTCTCTGAGTATTCCCACAAACTCAACTCATAATCATTAGAATTTTTAAATGTATTGGTGAAATAAAAAAATTAATGTTTAATTTGATTTCATTCTAATGAACGTAATGAACAAAATTTACTTCAAGCTTTTGAAAAATTCTTTTTACTTATCTATGATTTTAGCATAAATAGAAATTTAAAATCTTCACCTTTACACCGAAATTCAAAAATTTTACTTTAACCACGCAACTGTAATCTTCGTTCTTCTAAAAAAATAAATAAATAAACATATTAAGTCAGTCTAATGACGTCAGGCTTGCTGTTGTGTAGCCCGATTGAAAAATACGTACATTTTTTCGTTTTTTCCCTATGATTATCAGGCAATGCTGAATATTAGTTATCATGGAATAGTTTGACACTGGTGTCATTCACTAGTAATGAATGTACGACTACGATACTATAAAGTTCAATACAAAATGAAATTTTATTTATTTTTTTGGTAAAATAACGTCACTTAAGAATAAAAAAACTTTTGGCATTTTCAACACTTGTATTCGTTGGATTATACGTTCTCCGCATTCATTATTTTTTTTTTAAAAAAAAGTAAAAAAACCTGAAACTTGTTTTGATTCTATTTTTCAGTCAGATGGGTTTCCTGAAAGATTTCATACATGTTACGAATTTAGAATTTTATTAAAAATATAAAAGATACATTTACATCTATTTGGATGATTCTCTTGTATAGTTTAATAAAAATAAAAGATTAAATTGATCAAATTTTGAGTTAAGTAATTAAATCCTTTAAATTTTTGTTATAGACTCTTATAATCATTCTATGGCATCTTTTTTTTTTGTTATATATGCATTTTTTTTTGTTATAACTAATTGGAAGAAGAATTCAGAAATACTGCAAACTAAAGCTATTTCTCTTTATGAATAATTCATTTGAATATTGTTGAATAACTCCTTTCACTCTCTTTTTTGTGTGTTTAAATTCTTAATTGAAAAAGCTAAAAGGATGGCATAATTTATATACAATAAGTTAAAGATTTTAAAGTGATTATCCTCAACAATTGCAGATTATTATTTTTTTTAAATTAATTAAACTAAATGTAAACTATGTATAGTTTAAATCACACTTACCATAAGAGGTAATTACAGATATATACAAATTTTTCTTCTATTATGATTTGAAAAAAAAAGAGATAAAACATATCAATTTAAAGTATATTTGAAAAGTTCATGAAAAACAATTAAATTAAAGGTTGCATCAAAAATATTGATATCTATGCATTTATGTATACTAACATACTTCAAAACATTCTTGAAAATTTATCCTAAATAATCTCTTCTTCATTTCAAATAAATTAAATCTTCTTGTTTTAATTTTCAAAAGCACACAAAACTTGAAGAATTCATTGCAAGGCCGAAGTCTTTTCAGCAATCGTATTAAATTAAGAATAATTCATTGATTTACTAATCTTCAGTTACATAAAACTTTTTCTTAACCCATGAATAAATGGTGTTGTGTGATTTACTAATCCACTCAACATTTGATGCTACTGTGCGAAGAATCATGCGAAGATGATCTATTCCGGGTCCATCGCCGAAACGATCGACTAAGGATTTCAACTAAAACAAAATTAAATCATTAATTAAATTTTTTCAAAGCAAATTATAAGATTATCTTACTTCATCATAATCAAATTTGTTTGCACCATATTTTGTGATGGCTGTGATGACTTTAGCAAAATTAATGCTTCCTCGACCAAAGCGCTTCTGTAAATCAAACCATTTTGCTTGTAAGAAACGACATGCCATTGCTCCACCTGTTGGTGTTGAGGAAATAGCTTCCAATGTGGGAGTAATTTCATTTGTTGGTAAAGTCATCACATATGTAAGCAGTCGATTTTGAAGCCATGCATCTTTTGTTAGCCCCAAGGCTTTCAATAATTCTATTCTCTCATCCAAATTATTTCGATCATTTCGTAGCTGTATATATCTTTCATAGCAGTATTGCCAGTACTCTAAATCACCTGATAAAATAGCACCGACATATGTTACCTAGTAAATGAAATATAAAGCAATACATTGTTATCAGTTACTCAATGTCTATGATAATAATCTCAATTGTTAACATACTTCTCTTAAATTGGGTGGTATTATAGTTGCATTAATGAGATGTGAATGAAGAATTGTTTTTGCTTCTTTAATTGATTCAGGTTGTTCCCATAAGACAGAAGCTAATAAAATTTGAGGACGCATTAAACGAGACTCGTCTGAGCCTGTATCATTCCATCCTACTTCTGTAACAGCTTTTGACAAGAGCGTTTTCATATATTCAGTAAGTAGAAGTGAACATTCTGTATATTTGAGTATCTTTCTCCATTTTTCAAAATGTTTTATTGCAACAGTCATTGGACCCCAGTTACGTTCTTTGGGCAAATATGAAGTAATATCCAACGTAACACTACAATCTAATACGTTACTATGACATAAAGCGAAAGAATCTGAAATAAGTCCCATACGATCCTTTGTTGAAAATACTGTGTGATTTTCATTCAATTGCTGAACAATATTCTCATAATTTTCCTTATCATAGAGTACGCGATAATATCCATTTTGTTCATAGTTCAGCAATATCCATTTAACATTTTCTTTGAGTTGAAATTTTTCTGAAATACATAATAGATTAATACTATCAAATTAAATATCTTAAAAAAATTTAACCATATAAGTACCTTCTGTTGAGTCAATCCAAATCGTATCTTTAATATCCTTGCTATTTGTGGCATACTTGATTGGGAAAATCCATTTCATCGAGCGTTTCTTACTTTCCTTTGTTGAAATTGTTGTAGTTGTTGTTGAAAGAGTCGTTGATTCCGTCAAATTATCACTTTGATTAAATGGATCTTCATAAACGGCTGTCAATTCTGACATTTTAAATGGTTTTTGATCAATATTTACGGTCATATTTGATCTGTTGCATGTAATGAGTGGAAAACCTGACTGAGATGTCCATAAATGCATAAGTTCACGAATATTTTTTGAACCGTTTGCCTTCTTTGAACATATCTGCCATAAATCATTAGGCTCGGCTGTCATGTATTTAAATGTCGTTATAAATGCTCCAATACAATTTCGGAAACTCTCATCACCCATTGTTGAGTGCAATACCTCAAGAATCGAAGCGGCTTTGTCTATGTAAAACTCATTATTCTCCCCCATAGCATCTGTTCCATTTTCAATACTTTCCCATCCTTGTAAAACATCAATATCTAATGCTCTAAGTTTTGTTTCCAACATATACTTTTCTTCAACTGGCCATTGTGATTTTAGAGGGGAAAATATGAGTCGACTCAAGTATCGAATTATTCCATCCCAAAGCCAATTCTGTTTCCACGTTTTAGGTGAAATCATACCTCCAAAATACTGTTGTAAAATTGCTTCCGATATTTCTATTGCTGATCTCTGATATTCGTAAGACGTTACAGTTGCTGCATCTCTTAAGAAAGACGTTTTACATGATATAAGACCAAGTGATGAATGCAAATTCTCCTCAATGGAAGGAAGTGCAACAAAATCTAGTTTTGTAAATGGATATGGTACATTTAACCAATTTTGTAAATGTTCTAATATATCTCTTGATGTATGTAGAATAAATTTTGTTTTAGGTAAAATACTTTCAGGTGCATAAAATGTATAAGACGGAGCCGTCCTAATAATGCCATCTTCATCGGAAATTGTAGAATGATTGTCATTTTCCTTAGTCAAGCTCTCACTTTTTTGTGTTACTGGCGCCAAAGTGTGAGCATCTTCATGATTAAGCTTTGCCATCTTAATCGATAAGCCTGTCTTTAAAATGGATGTCATATTTCGGCGAAGAATCTTATCATTTGTTATGAGATTTTCTGATACTTTTGATGTAGATGTTAACGACTGTATAGGTATTGCTGTTGAGCTTGACGTAATGTGATATGTTGGAGAACTTTCAAGAAATTCTCGTTTAAATACACTTATCATCCAAGATATTGCATCCGGTGAAAGAGGAGGCGTTTCAACAAAATCATCTCTCAACTGTGTAGAACAGAAATCAATAAATTAATAATGCACAGATTGATAGAGAAAATTCTAAATACTTACTAATGCTCGTCCCAAGAAAAATCCTGCTTCATCTGTTGCATGAACAATGGAATTTGAAAGTGCAATATGGAATCGATCACGGAAAAGTGAAATTTTGAAATTAGCACGTAAATGTGGTTCATCAAAGCATCTATAATTGTCAAATTTTAATAATTAATATCAAATCAAACCAGAAACTTTCAAGAGATAAGGACTTACGGAAAGGCTTTTCGAGCTTTTCCAGGACCGAAAATAGTTGCTGCCAATAATTTATTACTGCCTTCAGAGTCATATTCATCAACATAAAAGCCTTCCGGATCGGTATTTAACTTTGAATACCAACGCAAATTAAGTGAGTAATTTGATTTCTTTCGTAGCTTATCACGGAATTCTATGTAAATTTGTTGTCTTGAAGGATATTCCAACATACGATTAATTTTTAATGAAAAACCTTTCGGCCCAATTAATGCCTGTGAGAAAAATAAACAATAATTACATCCTACACATGTCTTATAATGAATATTTAATGGCTATCACATACCTTTTCTGTGATGTTGAGATTTTGTGCATGTAATACGATGAAACTCATTTCCTTTTCAACATAGAACTCAATAGATATTTGACCTAAAATAAAACGCAATTTTACATTGTTTAAGACATTAAGAGTTTTATTATTGATAATGATTTTGTTTTTTACCTTTGATCTCGAACGTAGTTAAATTTGGATGGATGAGGATAGTATACCGATTTGGCTTGATGTTGCTTGGAAGAAATGGTAAAAGCCATGGAAAAAGTTGTCCATTCGTTGCGTATGGTTCGAATTTCTCTGAACTATTATATCCATCAGTATGATAGCCTTTCGGCATTTTTCCAGCACATGGACAATCTTGTGGAGCATAGGCAATCAGCAAAGCAATTGCTAATAACGCTCCAAGGACGGTGGCAGTTACACATAAAGCTCTTTTTTGTGAACACACAACATTTCTCTCTCTTACTGTTCTTCCATTAGAATTTTCTGTTCCTATTTGCGAGAATATGAAATTATAGTAATTGAATTAACATGAAATTTATTTATAGGGTGAAAAAAATGGGGAAAAATTAAAAATCAAAAAAGAACGAAAGAGAAACAGAGGAAGAGAAAAAAAATCTTGACCCAATTCATCGATGATACCTGTTAAGAAGGCAACATCATCAAGTTCTTGATCGGTCATTCTTATTCTTTCACGTCTCCAAATGCCACTTTTTCCAGATCCAACTACGGAAAGCTTAACGGGGATATCACCCCTCTCGCGAATATTTTCAGCCAGTATGAACCAATATTAGAAGAAAATGTCTTCCTCACTTTATCAACTATCAAATTTCAACCAATATGAATTATTTTTAAATAAAGCTGTGCAATCGTTAATTCTCCTATTATATCAGGAATTTTTACTATTCATCAACTTCATTACTAAATTATTTAATAAAGTTCTTTCTATTTAACTTGTTTTTAATAAATTCAAAATATTTCTTCACATTATTTCTTGAATAGTTTGAAACATTTTTTTTATGTTCCTGCGCAATAATACTTCCTTTTTCACAATTCAGGAAGTACTAATTAAATATACTTTAATATATTTTGTCCAGCTCTTTAATAAATTATTATGCGAAATAGAAAGTCTATCGACATTTGTTATTAAATAATTAATTCAAAGTCGTTAATTTATGTAGTTTTCAGCATTGAAAACATTTGAAATTTATGAAAAGCGACTTCTTCTAACCACGAGTTTATACTGTCATATTATGTACCCTTCAAGATGTATACTGATAAATGCGCATGACAGCAATGCACATTATACATAATGGTTTTTTATTATATTTTATCATAATCTTAATAATTATAAGGACTCTATAGTTTATAACACACATATAAACTATTAGTGGTAAAATTATGCAACTGAAATTATTTTCAAGGACAAATTGAACTTACCAAACTTATTATTTAGTCCATTAGAGTTAGATGAGAATCCTTGTAAAGGTTGCAGTTCATTGTCACCGATTTCATCACCAATTTTATTATTCTTATTCTTTATATCTCTTCTATTCATTTCCAATATTTCTTATTAAGTAGACAGAATTATTATTTAAACAGGTATACGAAAATTGCAAAAATTAATTTAAGTAATGCTGAGAAATGTGGAAATAAAATGTATGTATATATGTTTATGCGGAATGTTTCATTATAACTGAATGAACGATGCTGTTTTGATAAAAAAAAGAAGAAAAATATCCCCCTCACAAAACGGATCACGCACAGTGAGTTTGCGTAAGAATTAAAAAAAATATTTTACATGCAGTCAAAATAATGTGTACAATGTACATCAAAAATATTAGGGGATTGAAAAATTGATCTGTGTGTATATTGTAAAGAAGAAAATTTATTACTATTTAATTTACAATCATTTTTCTCTAGCTTTTATTTTCTTCGTTAACATTTGATTTTTCATTTTATACAAAGGATCAACATTTATTTTGTGGAAACTCTTGTTCTTTTATCCCATGAGAAGTTTACACCATAATTCTTTACACGTTCCTTCTTCTTTCGCTCTTCTGATGAAACCAACCATTTCCAGCCGTTCTTTTCACAATGATTAATAGCTTCTTCTTTAGTATTAAATTCTACGACTCCGCTCATGTTTGATAGAGGATCAGCACTTGAGCTCCATCCCATCAATGGATTTTCCCAACGTTCACGATTGTCAAACTCAATACGCCAAGTGTTTAAATTATTAGTTCCGCTTTGCATTGCATTCTTTGCAGGAATAAATATTCTAACTCTTCGGTCTTTAACATGCTCCTCGGGAACTCCGTTAATTGAAGCTAATGTTTTCTAGAAATCATATTATATACTGCTTGCGATATTAAATTCAATAAATAAACTCACTTCTTTTGGAAGGTTTACTAAATGTGTCAACTTTTCACGTTCCTTCATTTCTTTATCGTCAAGGATAACAGAGTTATCAACAATCGGAGCTTCCTTTTGCTTCAATGCATCACTAGAATATGCCGAAACTGAGTTTTGGTACCTAAAACAAAATATTAGTTATCTAATAGAGATTTCCAAAAAAAATTATGCTTTATATTGTTTACAAGCTTTAACTTACCATTTAAGTGACACAACAGATTTTGGGAGACGACGAAGCATGCCTGCCATCATACTGCCTAGTAAAATTGTTTAAATTAACTGAGATAAAAGGATTTTAAAAAAATTTATTGTATTTTTTTGTGAAGGAGAGAAAATAATAAATTTTTGAATTTTTAAACACACTCCTAGCGGTTTTTTTGCTATTGAAACTCTTAAAAACTATGAGCTACAGATAGTATTAGTTCTTCGATCCTGGTGATTGAGTCTGTGACAAAAGAAGTAGAGAAAAGCTGGAAATTGGAGAAAGAGAGATAGATATTGAAAATAACAGTAAAAAACATCAATAATGACTTTAAATTGTTGCATCGCAAAAGAGAGCTTGAAGTAGGGTGACTATCTGCGTAGTTTTTCAACGGACAGTCCTGTATTTTTCAAGACTGTCCTGTATAAATTTTTAAATTTTGTTCTTGGTCCTGTATTTTTTCCATGAAAATTTCCGTTAATTTTCAAATTTTACTCTATGTCCTGTATTTTTCGAAAAAATTTACCAAATGTCCTGTAATTTCATGAAAATTAGATGGGAACCCTAGCTTGAAGTTGATACTCAGAATGACAGTTTTTTCAAGAAATTTTCAGTAATTACATTTGAATGCCAGTGAAGATTGTATACTTTCCATGAGCAAAAGAAAAAATCAGAAGTCAAAATTAATTCAATAAACTATTATTATTATTTTTACTACTATTTATTATATTTGTATCTTCTCTTCTTTATTTTACTATTCGTTTAAAAGCCTTTAAAAACTCAATACTATAGTTATAGCGTTCAATGAACATTAAAAAACTTAAAAAATGAATGTAATCATAATTGACATTTAACGGTAATTAACGGGGATTCTTACTTCAAAATTACAATTGATGAAAATGTTGTTCTTTACATGACAGACCTCTTAATCTTGCTCTTACTTTACCTTTTCTTATATCATAAAATAAAGCCAGTTTTCAAAAGCAAACTTAAACAGTCCTTTTGCATTGCGAAACACCAAAAAAATCAAAATAAACATCAAGTAAAACCAAAAACAGAAATTAAATCAAATTTTAAGAGAAGATAGGCAAATTGGATGCCTCAAACCCTTAAAAATAAAAATCTTAAAAATGTACCGAATCAAGTTTTAAATTTAAAGCATTTTTGGTTTCGATCATAGGAGGCTTTTTTTCAAAAAAAAATATCGATTTTATATTTATATTAGCATTTTTTATCATTTATAATACCTAGATATGTTTTAAAATGCAATTTAAAGCATTTTTGTTTTCGATCATAGGAGGCTTTTTTCAAAAAAAAATATCGATTTTAGATTTATAATAGCATTCTTTATCATTTAAAAGACCTAGATATGTTTTAAAATGTAATTTAAAGCATTTTTGGTTTCGATCATAGGAGGCTTTTTTTCAAAAAAAAATATCGATTTTATATTTATATTAGCATTTTTTATCATTTATAATACCTAGATATGTTTTAAAATGCAATTTAAAGCATTTTTGGTTTCGATCATAGGAGGCTTTTTTTAAAAAAAAAATATCGATTTTAGATTTATATTAGCATTCTTTATCATTTAAAAGACCTAGATATGTTTTAAAATGCAATTTAAAGCATTTTTGTTTTCGATCATAGGAGGCTTTTTTCAAAAAAAAATATCGATTTTAGATTTATAATAGCATTCTTTATCATTTAAAAGACCTAGATATGTTTTAAAATGCAATTTAAAGCATTTTTGGTTTCGATCATAGGAGGCTTTTTTTCAAAAAAAATATCGATTTTATATTTATATTAGCATTTTTTATCATTTATAATACCTAGATATGTTTTAAAATGCAATTTAAAGCATTTTTGTTTTCGATCATAGGAGGCTTTTTTCAAAAAAAAATATCGATTTTAGATTTATAATAGCATTCTTTATCATTTAAAAGACCTAGATATGTTTTAAAATGCAATTTAAAGCATTTTTGTTTGCGATCATAGCTGGTTTTTTTCAAAAAAATATCGATTTTATATTTATATTAGCATTCTTTATCATTTATAATACCCAGATATGTTTTAAAATACAATTTAAAGCATTTTTGGTTTCGATCATAATAGACTATTTTCAAGAAAAAATTTCGATTTTAATTCTATATAGACATTCTTTATTATTTATAAGACCTAGATATGTTTTAAAATGCAATTTAATGCATTTTTGGTTTCCATCATAGGAGGCTATTTTAAAAAAAAATATCGATTTTAATTCTATATAAACATTCTTTATCATTTATAAGACCTAGATATGTTTTAAAATGCAATTTAAAGCATTTTAACTTCCACGCAAAAGCGTGTAAGTTATTAGTTTCACGAAAAACACACTTTCTTTAATACTTTAACTTTAAGCCTGAAGGACTAATTTTCAAAAATCTCAAAGGGTACCAAAATGTGTGTATTTGAATGCCGAATTTTTCTGTACATTAACTTTTAAATTTGGACATCATCTATGCCTTCAAAACGCCAAAAAACGTCTTTTTTGGGTCTACAAATTTGGTGAAAATAATTCTTTTGCGATTTGATCACACAACATAAGCAATTTGGGGAATGGAAAGTCATTTTTCGAAATTCTCAAATTTTCAGTAGTTTTGAAGCTGTCAAAGTTGGAAAACTTAGGAAAAATGGTCATTTTCTTAAAATTCTTGCGGCACCAGACTTTTTTTCAAACTGGATATTTTATCGAGTTTTATCTTATAGTCTTATACATGATAAAGAATGTCTATATAGAATTGAAATCGAAATTTTTTTTGAAAATAGTCTACTATGATCGAAACCAAAAATGCTTTAAATTGTATTTTAAAACATATCTGGGTATTCTAAGTGATAAAAAATGCTAATATAGATAAAAAATCGATATTTTTTTTTGAAAAAAGCCTACTATGATCAAAACCAAAAATGCTTTAAATTGCATTTTTAAACATATCTAGGTATTATAAATGATAAAGGATGCTAATATAGATGTAAAATCGATATTTTTTTTACCACGTTTTCTTAACTTGCTTTCTTATCTGTTTATCTGTTTATCTGTTTGTCGAGGTCAAATCTTGCGATCAATTTTTCGACCACTTCTACTGCTACAATAGAGCTGAAATTTTGCATGCACTTTTCTTTCAGATGACAATACAATATTCAAGCATTTCAGAAACTCAAATATGCTTAATTATTTTTTTTTTTCATTTTAATTCCACTTAATTGCATTTATTGACGACATACTGTCCGGTAATAATTCACATTTTACGCTTTAGTATTTGTATACATATGAATTAATATTATGTAGGATCAAACTTCTAATCTTCAAATCTAGGTTTCAAATAAACTAAGGCTCTCGTTTCGATCTTCTGTAGGCGTGACGTGATACTTTTCAGGTCCGTTCTAACAATATTCCATTAGTGGGTAATCTTGTAGCTCTCGTTCCTATTTCTCCCGCTACACTTTAAGTTCCTGACCCGTTCCTTAATCCAACGTTGCCCAAATGCCCAATTATGGCTTGATCTCCTACATTATGCAATCGAAGTATCTAAACTTCCGAAAAAGAACAAATTTGGAAAATGGCTGGATTCGAACCGAAGACCTTCGAGTTACCATCCCAAATTTGAGCCAAGCGCCTTACGGGGCTGTTCACGTATTACGTAACGCGAAAAAATTACTTCTTAGACCCCCCCCCCCCCCTCGTAACAAAATTTGTATGAAAAAAAAATTTCCTTGTTTGAACCGTAACAAAATCTTAGACCCCCCTCCCCCTAAAAGCGTTACGTAATAAGTAAATGGCCCCTACCTATTCGACCTGCAAGGCACTTAACTGCAGTTTTATTTATATAATTATAATACAATTAAATTAAATTTTCTACTCTTTAACGCTTAGCTTATTTTTACATTACATCTGTACAACTTTCACTAATCATATTCACACAAATTTTCAATTTTTTTTAAATTTCAAAAAGCCGTTATAAGTTTGAATCACAAAAAAATACTTTATAAAAATACTTTTTAAAAAACCACGTTTTTACACGTGGACAAAAAAGAAGAAAATAACCTTTTTAATTGGTTTCAAAGGATATTGGCTTGAAAATTTGAGAAGAAATTGCTCAAACTGACAAAGCAATTTGTGCAAATGTTCTTAAATCTATAAAACTTGACAAAAAAATTTATATAACATTATTTCAAAGAAACAGTAAATTAATGATGCAACCTAGTGCAAAAGTAGCTACTTTTTAACATTTTCGACTACAAATCTGCAAGAACTTCACAAAATTGTTCAAACTGACAAAACAGTTTGTGCGAATGTTCTTAAGTCAATAAAACATGACGAAAAATTTGTTTAACATTATTTTTAAGAAACAGTAAATTAAAAATGCAACCCAGTGCATAAGTAGCTACCTTTTAACATTTTCGACTACAAATCTGCTAAAACTTCACAAAATTGTTCAAACTGACAAAACAGTTTGTGCGAATGTTCTTAAGTCAACAAAACATGACGAAAAATTTGTTTAACATTATTTTTAAGAAACAGTAAATTAAAAATGCAACCCAGTGCATAAGTAGCTACCTTTTAACATTTTCGACTATAAATCTGCTAGAACTTCACAGAAATTGCTCAAACTGACCAAGCAATTTGTGCGTATGTTCTTAAATCAATAAAACATGACAAAAAATTTGTTTAACATTATTTCAAAGAAACAGTGAATTTATGAAGCAACCTTTTGCAAAAGTAGCTACTTTTTAACATTTTCGACTACAAATCTGCTAGAACTTCACAGAAATTGCTCAAACTGACCAAGCAATTTATGCAAATGTTCTTAGATCAATTAAACATGACAAAAAATTTATATAACATTATTTCAAAGAAACAGTGAATTTATGAAGCAACCTTTTGCAAAAGTAGCTACTTTTTAACATTTTCGACTACAAATCTGCTAGAACTTCACAGAAATTGCTCAAACTGACAAAGCAATTTGTGCAAATGATCTTAAATCAATAAAACATGACAAAAAATTTGTTTAACATTATTTCAAAGAAACAGTAAATTAATGATGCAACCTAGTGCAAAAGTAGCTACTTTTTACCATTTTCGACTACAAATCTGCTAGAACTTC